TCTGCCCCCAGCAGTCCCCACACCTCCTTCACCACCCCAGCCAGGGGGACCACAGCCTCTGGAACCACCACTCCTCTCACCACCCTTCCCCCGACCACCACACCCTTCAGCACCACCGGCACCCTCCCCACACCATCTAGCCACGAGACCTCACTGCCCACCATCTCGCCCACACTCTCCACCTCCTCCGTGACGACCACCTCGCACGAGGACACCACTCCAACCAACCCACACTCCACCTCCTCCACGCCTCCCACAACAACGCTCGAGCCCACGGGCCCCACACACACGGCCCCACTCTCCACAGCCACCACCTCTCCCACCACCCTGCCCCACAGCTCTGTCAGCACTGCCAGAACCTCTGTGTCTCTCACCCCACTCCCATCCTCCACACCGCCCCACCAGTCCTCCTCAGCCCCACTCACAGAAACCACCACCCCCACGACCGTCACCACCTCCTCTGCCCCCAGCAGTCCCCACACCTCCTTCACCACCCCAGCCAGGACCACAGCCTCTGGAACCACCACTCCTCTCACCACCCTTCCCCCGACCACCACACCCTTCAGCACCACCGGCACCCTCCCCACACCATCTAGCCACGAGACCTCACTGCCCACCATCTCGCCCACACTCTCCACCTCCTCCGTGACGACCACCTCGCATGAGGACACCACCCCAACCAACCCACACTCCACCTCCTCCACGCCTCCCACAACAACGCTCGAGCCCACGGGCCCCACACACACGGCCCCACTCTCCACGGCCACCACCTCTCCCACCACCCTGCCCCACAGCTCTGTCAGCACTGCTAGGACTACTTCTCATCCCAATAATTCCTGGCCCAGTTCTTGGACCACGCTCACTTCTTCATCTGCCCCTGGGAGTAGCGTTCCTCCTACCTCCAGCCCTAGCCTCCCTTCCCAGACCCCCTGGCCACTTCCCACGTTCACTCTCTCCTTGCCGCCCCACCTGCACACCTCCCCTTCTGCTCGTCCCTCCTCTACCTCCTCATTAAGTGTTCCCTCCAGCTGGCCCTCAAACACTGGCAGTTCAGCTACCCTGTCCCCAATCCCCAGCACCTCTTTCCCGCTGCACACTTCACCTGTTGCTCCTCCATCTTCCTCTGCATCCTCCACTTCCTTCAGCTCCAGTGTTCTGCCCACCGCGACCCCGTCCTTCCCTTCCTCTGCCGATCCTCTGTCCACCACTGGCCTGCTTCCTTCCACATTATCCTCTTTGCCCCTTTCCAGCACTGGGCATCTCTTGTCCACTGCTCGCACCACAGCCAGCAGCACGGCTTCCACTGCCTCCTCCTTGTCCACCACCTCCCGCCAGACCTCTCTCACTAGCCACATCTCCACTGCTGGCCCCATGTCCTCCTCCTTGGGCACGACTGTCATACCTAGTTCTCCAACTAGCAACTTCACCAGCAGCAAGCCCTCTCCCAGCTGGCCGACTACATCCTTACTCCTGACCAGCTCTGTCCTGTCTTCCACCAGCAACCCCTTGGTGTCCTCCATGGTCCCGTCTGCTCCCAGCTCACCAGGTAAGTTCCCTGCAGGTGTCATATCAGGCCTACAGCCCCTCCCCTGCCCTGGCCTCTTCCCATCTCCGCCCTGATAGACCGGGGGTTTTAGGTAAGCATCCCAGCAGGCGGCAGACAAATCCATCCCGTGCTCCACCTGTTCTCTGGGACTCATCGCCTGTGCAGCCTGGGCACATCCAGCAGGGCCTCCCCTGTGCCCTACCACATGACAGTCTGAGCCTGTGTCGATCCAGGAGATGGGACTGGACCGTCCTCTCTCACCATTCTGGAGGAGTGAAGTGTGGTAGGCTAGTTCCTAGGGCTCCTCAGCCTGGTAGGAGAGTGGTAGACACACGGGCAATGACCTGTCCAATCAGGACCTGTCCTGAACTCAAGCCACTTGCCCTGTGATGGGTTCAGCTCTAAGTTACAGAGGGAGGCAGACATTGCCTGTCCACTACCCAGTGGTCACCACAGCCAGGCTTGGGCTGGCACAAAGCCAAGACCTAGAGCATCCCGGTCTCCCCAGTACAGGCAGGGTCCTGAGCACTCGGTCTGTCCTCTGCTGCTTTCCCAGGCCATGAGCAGGGAGCTGGATGGGAAGGGGAGCAGCCAGGACTCCAGTGGAAACATGGGCAGCAACTTAACCCCCTGGCCACAGTGCCGGCCCCCCATGGTCATTTGCCCTGTGTGTTTGGTGCTTGTACCTGCCCAGACCAGGGACCTACTCTGCTCCCACGGCCAGAGAGCAGATACAGTGTCCCTTGGGGATGCCAGTCCCTTCATTTGTGGCCATCAGTCACTGCTCCTGTGCCAAGCGGGGCAGTTGGCAGCATCTGTCCTGTGCCACTCCCAGCGTGCTTGACTGCCCCTGCTGTCCCCCAGGGCTGTGCCATGTCCAGGAGCAGCAGCGGGAGGTCACCTACCAGGGGTGCAAGGCCAACGTGACCGTGACCCGCTGTGAGGGCAGCTGCCCCTCCTCAGCCAGGTAAGCCCCCGCCCTGCCGTGTGTCCCACTGTGAGGGCCCCCACCCCACAGTGTGACCTGCTGTGAGGGCCCCCACCCTGCTGTGTGTCCCGTTGCCAGGGCCCCTGCCCCGCCATGTGATCCACTGCGGGGGGGGCACCCCTCCTAGAGGGTAGGTGTGAGCCTGGCCCAGCTGACCCTTGCACTCATCTGGATTCCGACAGCTTCAATCCGGAGAGCCTGCAGATAGAGACCCAATGCGGCTGCTGCCGCCCCGTCACCTCCTACGAGAAGCAGCTGGAGCTGCCCTGCTCGGACCCTGCAGCTCCGGGGAGCCCGCTCCTGCTGCCCCTGCAGGTCTTCACCAGCTGCACCTGCAGCCCCTGGACCTGTGCAGATTAATGGGGGGATCTGGGGCTGGCGATGCCCACAGACTGTCCTGGAACCCAGTTGGCCTCAGGGGTGCCCAATCCCCACCTCCTTGCTCCACAAACCCCCAGGAAGCAGAGTAAGGCCAAAGCAGACAGACCACTGCCCCCAGCTGGGTCTATGGGCACTGTCTGCCAGCGCCTCCCCCTACCTGTCCATGGGCACTTCCTGCCAGCGCCTCACCTGCCCGTCCATGGACACTTCCTGCCAGCAGCCAGTTTGTCTACTCTCAGCCTGAAGGCCACTGACGCAGGCAGAGGTGGCTCCAGCAGGGACACCTAGCCACAGTGTGTCCAACTGTGGGCACCTGGCAATGTGAGGACAGGCAGGTACCAAGGGCAGCAAAGGAAGCCACCCTAGGCCCGAGAACAGGGCACGGGGTGGCAGCTCAAGGGCAGATGCTAATAAACCAGGCAGCGAGCACCACCTGTGTCACCTCCTTTTATGTCCCGCTGCAACCCACACAGACAGCGTCATCGCTGGACCTGGCAGGCCTAGCCCATCTCTGGCAGAAGGCCACCAGGCGGTGAGTCCCCCTCGGCCCGAGCTACTGTCCAGCACGTTGCTGGCCTCATCAGAAGCCTCCGGCCAGGACTTGCTCACCCGGCCCCATGGACACAGTGTGTGCTGGGCAGGGGGACCCAGGACCACATGTCCCGAAGGCTCAGCCATGCCAGCCAGGAGGGGCCGGTTGCTACCACTCCTGCGTGGCCTCCCGTGGCCAGTGCGAGTTGCAGGACTGGCTGCATTCCCAGCATCCCAGCAGCTCCTGGGGGGCCTCCACTCAGCAGTGGCCTGGCAGCTGCCTTCAAATCACTTCAAGGTCACAACCACACATCAAAGTGTACTCATGTGGTACATGCAGGCTGGCGTCCTCCACTGCCAGGCCTCAGGCAGGGCCTCCTCCTTCAGCCTGCCCACCCACTCACTGCCAGGCCGCAGCCAGGGCCTCCTCCTTCAGCCTGCCCACCCACTCACTGCCAGGCCGCAGCCAGGGCCTCCTCCTCCAGCCTGCCCACCCACTCACTGCCAGGCCGCAGCCAGGGCCTCCTCCTTCAGCCTGCCCACCCACTCACTGCCAGGCCCCAGCCAGGGCCTCCTCCTCCCTGCCCACCCACTCACTGCCAGGCCCCAGCCAGGGCCTCTTCCTCCACCCTGCCCACCCATTCACTACCAGGCCCCAGCCAGGGCCTCCTCCTCCACCACCCTACCCACCCACTGCCAGGCCCCAGGCAGGGCCTCCTCCTCCACCCTGCCCACCCACTCACTGCCAGGCCCCAGCCAGGGCCTCCTCCTCCACCCTGCCCACCCACTCACTGCCAGGCCCCAGGCAGGGTCTCCTCCTCCACCCTGCCCACCCACTCACTGCCAGGCCCCAGCCAGGGCCTCCGCCTCCACCCTGCCCACCCACTCACTGCCAGGCCCCAGCCAGGGCCTCTTCCTCCACCCTGCCCACTCACTGCCAGGCCCCAGCCAGGGCCCCCTCCACCCTGCCCACCCACTCACTGCCAGGCCCCAGCCAGGGCCTCCTCCTCCTCCCTGTCCACCCACTCACTGCCAGGCCCCAGCCAGGGCCTCCTCCTCCACCACCCTGCCCACTCACTGCCAGGCCCCAGCCAGGGCCTCCTCCACCACCCTGCCCACTCACTGCCAGGCCCCAGCCAGGGCCTCCTCCTCCTCCACCCTGCCCACCCACTGCCAGGCCCCAGCCAGGGCCTCCTCCTCCACCCTGCCCACCCACTCACTGCCAGGCCCCAGCCAGGACCTCCGCCTCCACCCTGCCCACTCACTGCCAGGCACCAGCCAGGGCCTCCTTCTCCACCCTGACCATGCAGGTGCCTTGCCGACAGTGACTGAGGGAGTGGCCCTGAGCAAGCCACAGGAACGTGCAGGATCCTCACCCTCAAACTGCCCACATGGACACAATGGCTTCCCTGTACCGGAGCTGGTCACCTGCCCAGAGGGTCCTGCACCCTGCCCCAGGCCTGGGGACCCCCAAAGACCAGCTCCACCTGGATCAGCGCCACCGCTAGACCTGCAGAACTGACTCAGCCCAGTGCACCACACTGCCATGTCCACTCAGACTTGTCACTTCCCTTTAATGTACAGACTGAGCCACAGGACTGCCGTGGTTCCTACAAAACTGGTCCCAGGATCCGGGCTTCCCGCGACGGGGCAGCCCCGCCGTCCACACGTAGCTTTCTGTCTGTAAAGTCCATGGCACTCTATCCATGCCCAGGGGACAGAGCTGGGGACACGGGGCAGGGGCCCCACCTGAGGGGTGGACTTGCAGCACAGTGACAAGGACACAGGGCAGAGATGAGCAGGACCATGCCCACGGCCATGACTCAGAACTGTTCCGACAGCAGCTCACACAGCCGCTGGGACACGGTCTCCCGACTCGTTCGCAGCGTCAGTCGGTACATCTGAAACAGACAGGCCAGTGGTCAGTGGGACCCTCGCCGGGGCCCTCACCACTGCCACCCACAGCCAGAGCCCAAGATGCACGTGGGAGCCAAGATGTGGGCCCAACCAGAGTCAGGGCCGGTGGTGTGGCACCTGTGTGGCAGCATGTCCGAGCCAATGTGGGCACCAGGGTGGCAGCTGCCATGGACTGCTGAGAGGCCACCAGGTGCCTGCACTGAGCAGCTACCGCACAGGGTCATTGTGTGAAGGGCAGCACAGGGACCTGCCACCAGGCACCCCCGGGCAGCTTGGGAGCTGCCACATTTCTCCCCGGCTCTGGCAGGGCCTGACCTGGGCCTGCAGATTTGGCTCTAAGCGAAGCAAGCACCCGATCTGGGTGGTCTTCGTGTGGATGATCCCGGCGCCCACAAAGTTGGCAGGATTGGGGTCAACATCTTCGAGCAGTGCAGAGCCAAACCCTATGATCTGTCCAAGAGAAGTGGGGTGTCAGGGCGTGGCTTGGCCCGGGGTGGCATCCGTCCCCCAGTCTGCTGCACGAACCACTACCTTGGCTTTGGTGATCTCCGTGTCCATCGGGTGCTTGGCTTTGAAAATGTTCTGTACCTCCTGCTGCGGGCTGCAAGACGGGGGTCAAGGCTGTGTCACAGAGAGCATCTGCCCCCAGGACCACCCCTCCCTACCTGGGGACCACCCTCACCCCCAGGACCACCCACTCCCCACCACCCCCTCCCTACCTCGGGACCACCCCCCACCTCCCCCAGGATGGCCCCAAGCAGCCAGCCCTCACTTGCTCAGCTGCTTCCAGCGCTGGAAGAAGTCCTGTGACCCCATCTCTGTGGGCTGGAAGAACTTATTGAGGGTCACAGGCAACTTCACTGACAGGTTCTGGAATGTGCCGCCATACCTGTAGATGCCACAGGAGTGAAGGGCACCAGGGAGCAGAACGGGCCACCCAACCGACACACTCTCCCACAGGAAGAACAGAAGACCTGGCATGCTGCTGGCCAGGGTGTGGGAGGGGCCATCGTGGGACAGACCTCAGAAGGACCCCACACTTGCCAGGCCCCAAGGAGGCGCGCACCCCACACGCACGTCCCCACCCTGGCGAAGGTGACACCTCACCGGAACTGGATGTTAAGCACTGGGGCCTCCGTGAAGTCACACACACACTCGATGTTGACCACCTGCTGCACCTGGGCGCCCCCATCCACAGTTGGGTCCACAGGCTTGGTCTGCAGGTTCAGCTGTGTGGGTGTCAAGGAATCCCACCCGTGTGGGCCACACCAGGTGCCCCCAACCCTGCACAGGACAGTTGCCAGGCACTCATCACGCAACCCAGTGCAGAGTCCAGCAGACACGGTCCAGCACCTTCCTTCCTACAGAGCTCCGAGAAATCCTATGCCTCTCCAAGCACGCGTGCCCGGCGAGGGCAGCCGCTGCCCCAGGAGGCCGTGGCTGCCTCACCAGCGTCCACTCGGGGAAGGCCCGTCTAGTAGCGTTTCTGTCCTCGCTAAGGGCTGAGCTGAGGGCAATGGCCTCCTGCAGCCCTGTGGCCACCCCACCCTGCCCCACGAGGCTGAGGTCAGCTGGGACTGCTGGGTGACCCTCCGACGCCACCTCTGACATGCAGCAGCAAATGCAAGAGCTGCTGATGGAACCGGGAGGGACACCCTCCCTCCAGAGCCAAGGATATCGGACTGAAGGCCATCCGAGCAGATCAGTGTTGGGGTGAAATTCAGAAACTGTGTGGAGGTCTTGTTGCCATAAAATATGAACATCCGGCCTGCAAGCAAACAGCAGAGAGCCGAGGGCAGTCAGTGAGCTTAGGCCCAGGAGCAGCAGGAGGCAGCTGTGGCTCAGCCAGCCAGCAGGCGGCTCCCAGCTCGGCTGGGCCTCAGAGGCAGGGGCTCCCAGTTCGGGTCCGGCCCGGCCCACCTGCAGCAGAGAACTGTCCTGCCGTGATGCTTTTCAGACAGCACCACGTGCTACGCCGGTGGGCAGGGCCCCCTTTTGCTGGGCCGTGGTTACTGCCTCCCCAGGGGGTCTCAGGCTCCCCTTGCAGTCCCAGTTATTGGCAGACAGGACCACACAAGACCCTGCTAGGCACCTCCTTGGGGATACCACAGTCAGACAGTCCTGGCATTGGGACATGCCACGCATGTGCACACATACCCTCTCCCAGGCTGTGCCAGCCCTCCACCAAGATGCCACAGGACACCCTGTGAGTGGCTCATCCCACTGCCCTCATTTACATCATGTGTTGGGAAGTAGCCCAACAAGTTACGCAACCGCCTGTGGCGCCAGCATCCCATATGGCCGCTGGCTCAAGTCCCGGCTGCTTCACTTCCCAGCCAGCTCCCTGCTTATGCCTGGGAAAGCAGCAGAGACTTGCCCAAGTGCCTGGGGTCCTGTACCCACATGGGAGACCAAGAAGAGGCTCCAGGCTCCAGGCTTTGAGTCAACTCAGCTCTGGCCATTGCAGCCATCTGAGGAGTGAACCAGCTAATGGGACATCTCTCTCTCTCTAACTCTTCCTTTCAACTAAAAATAAAATAAACCTTAAAACAAAACAGCTCCTGCTCTACTTCGGCTGTGTGTGGGAAGCTGTGGCCAGTGTTCGTCCTTCCGTGGGCCCACTTCCCCCTTTCCCTCAAAATGCCCCTCAACTGAGTCACATGAGGGTCTCACACACTTGCTGCCCACGCCTGCCCACGCCCTCCAGTGCCCCACAGAGTGCCACACGGTGACTGGAGCAATGCGGACAGGCCCGCCCACGCGCTCCAGCGACCCGACACCCGCAGAGAGGTGCCACGCAGTGATACGGACACCCACCTAAGTTCTGCCGGAACTCAGACTTGAGCCCGATCTGTAGCAGCTGGTTCTCAAACAGCACCCCGTTGTTTTTACAGACAAACCTAGGCAGGAGGGAGGCAGAAGGTCAATCACAGTCAGCACCCCCGAACCCCAGGAGGCAGCTCCTCAGAGCACGCCAGCCTGCAGCCCGCCCTCAGCCCTCCGTGGTCCTCAGAGCACGCCAGCCTGCAGCCCGCCCTCAGCCCTCCGTGGTCCTCAGAGCAGGTTCCTGCTATCAGACAACTGCCACTCCACCTGCTACATGGGACAGACACAGGCTACCCAGGGCACTGCCACAGGCTATACGGGGCACTGCCGCCCGCTTCATGGGACAGACACTGCCACCCGCTACAGAGGACAGACATCGCCTTCCTGACCCACTTCCAGCATGAATCTCAGCAGCATAGCCAGCCAGGACCCACGGTTAGTGCGGCCGGGGTGGACACACACAAGCTACTTTCTGCACAGCCCAAACACCTTGACCCCGATTGCAATGAGACCACAGCAGCACAGACAAGGAAGTGGCAACAGCAGGGCATAAGAGGTCCTCGAACCCCAAAACATGGCGTGAGCCTCGTGTGCATGAGGCTCTGGGTGGAGAGACCCAAGACCGACTCTCCCACCTTAGGAATCGACACCATGCCCACCCCGCCCCCCTGCACAGCTGAATGCGGTTCCATACAATTGCTTCAACCACACAGAAGGGAGATGGGGGCACCCAGTTGGCCATGGCCATGCCAGCTGCCCACCTGGCAAAGTTGTCCTCTGAACCAGGAGCAAGCGGTGCAGCGGCAGAAGCCGAGTCGGAGAACACGTCCACGAGGAGCCCACCGCTGCCGGAGGAGGGTGGGGGTCCCACAGGGGCCTGGGGGGTGGGCCCCAGACCCAGCAGGTCAGCTGACGGGGATGGTGTGGACTGGAAGAGGAGGAGGTCAGAGGGAGTCTTTCAGGCAGCCACCTACAAGGGCACCCAAGGCCCAGCCCCTTCCCCCCAGGCCTCCCAGCCCCTTCCCCCAGGCCTCCCAGCCCCTCCCCCAGGCCTCCCAGCCCCTTCCCCCCAGGCCTCCCAGCCCCTTCCCCCCAGGCCTCCCAGCCCCCTGTGAATGCCCCACAGGGGGCAGCACAATGGCTGAGGACTGCAGTCCCCACCAACTACAGGGGAGACTGAGAGAGCTGGGCCTCCGATTCAGGCTTGCCCAGCTTTAGTGCCTATGTCCACCTAGGGAGTGACCACTGTATAGAAGCTCTTTCTTTCAAACAAATTATTTTTAAAGTCTATAGAAGACACACATTTTTAAAAACATCTGCTTTGGGCAGAGTTGCAACTTAGCGGGCAAAGCCACCATATGCAACATCATTCTCCTGTTCTGTTATTGGTCCCAGTTCCAGCTTCTCCACGTCCCATCCAGCTCCGTGCTAACGCACCTGGGAAGACATGGGAGAATGACCCAGTCCTGAGGCCCCTGCACCCTAGGAGACCCCAGAGGGAGCTTCTGGCTCCTGGCTTCGGCTGGCCCAGCTGGCCCTTACAGCAGCAGGGGGTTCTTTTCTGCCTCACGCTCTCTGTTTTCCAAATAAGCAAACTTTTCAAAACTAGTAACATTAACAATGCGTGCTTTCGGCACGGTCCCAGGGGTGGGTAGCCTGCGCCCAACAAGCAATTCACCGCGGCACTGCTGCTGGCTGGTGCAGGCTCAGGGCCCCCGTTCACGTCCACGCTCCTGTCCCGCTTGCTGTCCTCCAAGTCCGTCACAGGGCCAGGCCCTTTCTTCTTCTTCAGCTTGGCCAGGATGGAGGACTCGCGCTCCGGGAATGGGGGCATCTCCTCCAGAACAGTGGCCTGGTGGGAAAAAGGTCAATGAACCAGCAGAGCCCCGCCCACCAAGACCCCGCCTCCATCGGAGTCCCGCCTCCCTCAGAGTTCCGCCTGCCAGAGTCCCGCCTCCCTCAGAGTTCTGCCTACCACAGACCCCGCCTCCCCAGAGCCCCGCCCACCAAGACCCCGCCTCCCTCAGAGTTCCGCCTGCCACAGAGCCCCGCCTCCCTCAGGGCCCCACCTCCCTCAGAGTTCTGCCTACCACAGACCCCGCCTCCCCAGAGTCCCGCCCACCAAGACCCCGCCTCCCCAGGGCTCCATCTCCCACAGAGCCCCGCCTTCCCAGAGCCCCACCCACCGGGCCCCGCCCCAAGCCCCACCCCGAAGCCCCGCCTCCCACCAGCCTCGCCTTCCCTCCACAGCATCCCCTAGGTGCCCCTACCAGGATGTCGGTGCTGGCCACGGTGCTGAGGCGCAGGTACTCCACGGCCCGCTGCTGCAGCTCCACGTCGGCATTGCGCAGCTGGCTGTCGCTGCGCAGCACGTCCTGGATGGTGGTCTTCACCTCCGGGAAGAGGTTCACAAACTTGATGTAGGTGGAGAGCAGCAGCGCCCGGGTGGGGACGCTGCACAGGTGGAACTTGGAGTGCAGCAGGTTGAACTGGATCAAAGGACTGAGGGCAGGCAGGACACACAGGAGGCAGCGTCACGGCATCACTCCACTGCCATGCTCCCGGATGACCCTCAGTCTGAGCCCTCCCAGCCGGGATGTGGTTTCCTGTGCCACCAAGGTAATCGGTACTGGGGATACTTGGGGGCACAGCACCCACAGTCCACACAGTCCCTGAGCCCAGCACCCCCACAGCCCCTGGTCCTGTACCCTCACAGCCCCTGGGCACAGCACCCACACAGCCCTTGACCCCAGCACCCCCACAGCCCCTGGTCCTGTACCCTCACAGCCCCTGGGCACAGCACCCACACAGCCCTTGACCCCAGCACCCCCACAGCCCCTGGTCCTGTACCCTCACAGCCCCTGGGCACAGCACCCCCACAGTCCAAACAGTCCCTGGACCCAGCACCCCCATAGCCCTGGGGCACAGCACCCCCACAGTCCCTGGGTCCTGCACTCCACAGCCCTTGACCCCAGCACCCACACAGTCCCTGGGCCTCACAGGATCCTTACCTGGATCTCGGATCCCCAGCGATCAAGTTTCCAAACTCGCCCAAGATGTAGCCACCCACTTTGACTAGGTTCTCATGGCACGCAGGGGCCTGCAGGGCCTGGAAACCATGCCAAGTAAGCTGGACAGGAGCTCCACACAGCACAGGGGCAGAGACAGGGCTCCCTAACAACTGGCCAGACTGCAGCCCGATCACAGTGACTTCCCAGCATGCACTGGGACAGGGGGCACGCCCCACAGCTGATGTCACTGGCTTCCCAGCATGCACTGGGACGGGGGCACGCCCCAGAGCTGATGTCACTGGCTTCCCAGCATGCACTGGGACAGGGGCACGCCCCACAGCTGATGTCACTGACTTCCCACCATGCACTGGGCCAGGGGGCACTCCCAGAGCTGATGTCACTGACTTCCCAGCATGCACTGGGACGGGGGGCACGCCCCAGAGCTGATGTCACTGGCTTCCCAGCATGCACTGGGACAGGGGGCATGCCCCACGGCTGATGCCACTACTTCCCAGCATGCACTGGGACAGGGGCACTCCCCGCAGCTGATGTCACTGACTTCCCAGCATGCACTGGGACAGGGGGCATGCCCCAGAGCTGATGTCACTGGCTTCCCAGCATGCACTGGGACAGGGGGCTCTCCCCGCAGCTGATGTCACTGACTTCCCAGCATGCACTGGGACAGGGGGCACGCCCCAGAGCTGATGTCACTGGCTTCCCAGCATGCACTGGGACAGGGGGCACGCCCCACGGCTGATGTCACTACTTCCCAGCATGTACTGGGCCAGGGGGCACGCCCCAGAGCTGACATCACTGACTTCCCAGCATGCACTGGGACAGGGGGCACGCCCCAGAGCTGATGTCACTGGCTTCCCAGCATGCACTGGGACAGGGGGCACGCCCCACGGCTGATGTCACTACTTCCCAGCATGTACTGGGCCAGGGGGCACGCCCCAGAGCTGACATCACTGACTTTCCCCCCATGTACTAGGCCAGGGAGCACACCCAAACTCCCCACAGCTATGGCTGATGGCTCCCCACAGTAAGTGGTGACCCAGGCGGCCATGACAGGCCTGTCACAGCTCCCACACGGGCCAGGGCCAGGTGCAGTGCTGCCAGGCGGCCTGCTACAGGATTACAGTGTCCACTGGGGGGTTAGCGAAGAGCAGCAGGGTCAGCAGTGGAAGAGCCCTGGCTCCACAGTGTGGAGCAGGAGCCAAGGGGCCGTGCCCTCTGACCCAACCCGACCCCGTCCCAGGCTGCCAGGGGCCGCACCTCAAACACGGTCTTGGCCGCATAGCCCTGCACGTCGTCGCGGTTGATGACAATCTGGATGACGCGGTACCACACCTCCTCACTCACATAGTCACCAGCAATGCGGATCAGGTTCAGGATGGTGTCCACATACCAGGTGTAGTCCACTGCATACTTCTCAGCCAGAATGGCCACCTTGAGCACCTGTGGGAGGGCAGGCAGGCCGGGCAGGGCAGGTACCCACTGCCACCTCAGGGATGGCCAGCTTGAGCGCCTGTGGGAGGGCAGACAGGCCGGGCAGGGCAGGTACCCACTGCCACCTCAGGGATGGCCAGCTTGAGCACCTGTGGGAGGGCAGGCAGGCCGGGCAGGGCAGGTACCCACTGCCACCTCAGGGATGGCCAGCTTGAGTGCCTGTGGGAGGGCCATGCTGTCAGGGCCACACTCCCAGTCAGTCCGGGATCTCTCAGCAATGAGCACCCCATGCCACCAGTGCCAAGATGCAGCCTCGTGCACCAACACAACACGAAGCCCCTGCCCTGATCAACACTACACAAGGCCACCACTCCCGACACTAACACCATATAAGGCCCCCTCCCCTCACCTACACCACGTGAGACGCCCCTGTCAACACACGCGAGACCCCCTCCGCTCGTCCTCATCACGTGAATCCCTCCTCCCCGCAGCTAGCCACGCAAGAATTCCCCTCCCCTCACCTACACCATGCAAGGCCCTAACCTTCCCCATGCCAAGCGTGCACAAGCACTACTGTCCATGGCTGCCTCTCCCACTGCATCCACAAGCAGGCAGCGGCACTTTGCTCCCCAACCACAAACACCAAAGCTTCGTCATAGGGAGAGCCCCCTCACCTAGCGGGCTGTGTCCCCACGGAGAGCGCCCTCACCTAGCGGGCTGTGTCCCCACGGAGAGCCCCCTCACCTAGCGGGCTGTGTCCCCACGGAGAGCCCCCTCACCTAGCGGGCTGTGTCCCCACGGAGAGCCCCCTCACCTAGCAGGCTGTGTCCCCACGGAGAGCGCCCTCACCTAGCAGGCTGTGTCCCAGTGCTCCCCACGGAGAGCCCACTCACCTAGCGGGCTGTGTCCCCACGGAGAGCCCCCTCACCTAGCGGGCTGTGTCCCCACGGAGAGCCCCCTCACCTAGCGGGCTGTGTCCCCACGGAGAGCGCCCTCACCTAGCGGGCTGTGTCCCAGTGCTCCCCCCGGAGAGCGCCCTCACCTAGCGGGCTGTGTCCTCACGGAGAGCCCCCTCACCTAGCGGGCTGTGTCCCCCCGGAGAGCCCCCTCACCTAGCGGGCTGTGTCCCCACGGAGAGCGCCCTCACCTAGCGGGCTGTGTCCCAGTGCTCCCCCCAGAGAGCGCCCTCACCTAGCGGGCTGTGTCCCCACGGAGAGCCCCCCGACCTTGTGGGCTGTGTCCCCCCGAGAGCCCCCCCACCTTGTGGGCTGTGTCCCCACGGAGAGCCCCCTCACCTAGCGGGCTGTGTCCCAGGGTTCTCATAGAGAGAGCCCACTCACCTAGTGGGCTATGACTCTAGAACCAGCACTGACTATTCTTTCTCTTTTTTTCTAAAAAAGATTTATAGAAACACAAAGTTAGAGACTTATCACCTGCTGTTTCACTCCCCACCACAATGGCCAGACACAGGCCTGTCAGGAGCTTCCTCCAAGTCTCCCACGTGGCTACAGGAGCCAAAGCACTTGGTCCCTATTCTGCTGCTTTCCCTGGTGCCACAGCAGGGAGCCACACAGGATGTAGAGCTGCTGGGACCCGAATCAGTGCCTTGGGATGCCCCTCAGCTGCCAGCCCCAGCACAGGCTCAGGATCAAATCCCACACCAGACTCCCACCAAGCACCCACCAGCCCGCTCCCACACGTGCAGGTCACATCCCTGCACATCTGCTCGCCTGCCCAGGGCTGCCCACACCTGCCTGTTGGACCCCTGAGCTCAGCCTTGGCCTGACTGATCAGCTACGCACCTGCTCCCCGAGTGCAACACACAAACTATGGCACTGGGGCCCAGGGTCGCCAGAGCTGAGGACAGCACAACGCGGGGACCGTGCCACAGTCCAGCGTCCTTCCCTGTAGTCCCACTCAGGCCCAGGAACGCTGCCAGAGGGGAGCTTGTACTGACCGCAGAGCCGATGTGCCACGTAACAGAAGGCACGTCCCCCCAGTGGACGTGAGGGCTGTGGCCAGCCTGGCCTGTGTACTTACAACCCCCAGCGGATGTAATGATAGAGTGTGGGTAAAATGCTATTGTTGGGCAGTGTGAGGTTCCTTTGTGTAGAGAAAGCTGCTACTTTGCCAGGCCAGGAGGCGCCTGCACTTTGGGAGGATTCCGCTTTAGTGATAAATCTGTTCTTTGCTGTCCTGCAACTTTGTGAACCCAGGTGCAGGGGGGCAAGGGCACAATTCTTCTCCAGTCCCAGGAACAGGAGGAAGATAAGGGTGTGAGAATGGGATGAGCCGTACAGATAATGGGTATGGGAACAGAACAGGCTGCCTGTGCCTGAAGGCCATAAAAATGAACATGTCTAAGGTTGTTACTTTTGATGTATTTCCCAGCCCAAAAGGGCCTATATAAGCTTCTGTCTTGGGCTCCTTCAGGGTCTGATCGCCCCGCTTGGCTGGCCTGTGTGCCCCAAGTGCGGTCTGGCCCCAGCATGCTGACGCAATAAACTCTGTTTGCTGTTTGCATTACCAGCGAGACTCTGTCGTTCTCTGGGGGTTGACCAGCTGCACCCTGACAGCCAGGGGTTTTAGCTCAGACTCTTAACAGTGAGGGCTGTGGCCAGCCTGGCCGTGTACTAACAACCCCGTCAGTGGACGTGAGGGCTGTGGCCAGCCTGGCCGTGTACTAACAACCCCGTCAGTGGACGTGAGGGCTGTGGCCAGCCTGGCCGTGTACTAATAACCCCGTCAGTGGACGTGAGGGCTGTGGCCAGCCTGGCTGTGTACTTACTATCTCCTCGCGGATTGAGTAGTCGGCCGTCTCCAGGTAGCTCAGCATCTCAGCCACAATCTGCTGTGCGTTGCTGCGGTCACACATGGCATAGAGCAGGTCCACGGCGCGCTGCCGCACACTCACATCCCGCTCCGTCTGAGGACGAGGGAACAGTCAGGGCACGGCACACATGGCTGGGGGCACACATGGCTCAGAAGCCAGTGCCATCCAACTGAGGGACACTCACTGCCCACCTGAGCGACAGCCGCTGACTTGCCACGTGTTCCCCACAGGCTGGACCTCCGCCAGCTCTGGGCACCCAGAGACCCCTGTCCTCTAGTGACCTGCCCCCTCCTGCTCCCTGCACGGGAGCAAATGGTCTGACGTGAACCTGACGTTCCCACCATCATCTGCCTCTGGCCTCTGGGGGTGGGGGAGGGTCACAGAACCACCCAAGGCCCCACCCAGGTCATTGTGATGAGGCCTCCAGAGGCGTCCAGGATGGTTCCGAGGGGCTCCACAGTGGGGCGGGGACCTGCAGGCTCCCCCGGGGAGACCTGTCGGCAGCCAGCCCAGCAGCTACCAGAAGACAGCAGCATCAGAGTTAGACAGGGCGCTGAACAGACCTTAATGAGAACCCCGTATCCGCCCCCTGGGACCTGCGCTCTCCCTGTCCCAGCCACCCCGAGGGCCCTCCGCACACAGGCCTGCAGAGGGGGCCCAGAACCCAGCTTCTTCCAGCCCCAGCCCCAGCACTGCGACCAGTCAGGGGCCACCATCTGCCACACAGCCACCCCTGTGGGCAGGAGCACCTGCTGGGATTCGGGGGACCTCAGGCAGGACGGGCAGCACCTGCCTTGAGGGCGTTGATGACGGTCTCGATGTGCGTCTTGACAGCCTCGTGGGAGAACTCGGAGCTGGCCAGCGTGCACATGCTCTCCAGTGCCAGGTAGCGCAGGTTCGTCTCCCGGTGCTGCAGGAACTGGCCCAGCTGGTTGCAGGCTCGGACGAGCAGGTTGGGCTCACTGGAGAGGGAAAGAGAGGTGCAGGGGGCTCCTCAGCCCTTCCCACAAGGCACCCGGCACCTCCAGGAACCTCCCAGCACCCAGGAGCCTTCAGCATGACTACTCTCCAGGCCCAGCAACACTCCCAGACATAGTAACAGAACTCCCAGATGCCAAAGAGCTCATGAGGAGACAGGCAGGTGCCACGCCAGCGCTGGCTCTGCCACGTCATGGCCACACGTGAGCAGAGCTGGAAGGCAGCCAGCAAATGGTAGGCCGGCCTCAGCTCTCTCCTTCCATCTCCCCAGGACCTAGCTTCTCTAACTACAAAGACAACTTCAGCTCACACAGGAGCGTCCCGACTGCTCCACTTTCTACCCAGGCCCCTGCTGAGGCACCAGGGAGGATGGCTCACGTGCCAAGGCCCCTGCTCCCACGGGGGAGACGCGCACAGCTCTCCTGACTCCTGGCTTCAGCAGCGCCAGCCCCAGCCCCTGGAGCTTTGGGACACGAACCAGCAATGCAAGATCCCTCTCTCTCTCAGCAAGTCTTCCTTGAAATAAATAAATCTTTTTTTAAAAAAAAAAGGTCATAGAAAAAGTAAAAGCTTTGTCCGTTTCGGAGCACAGTGTCCCCATGAGCTGTGAACGCTTCAGGCAGTGTCTGCACTTGACCCTCTGGCTGTGGGGACTCATCCTGAGAGGGCCCCTCCCGCGGCCACTCTGGCCTGCTGTCAGCTGGGCCCCAGGGCTGCGTCTCCCTCTACTTTCCAGGCTGCCTCTCTCTTGGGAGCGGACTTGGGCGGCCCACCCAGGACCTCTGGCCCACAATCAGCCCACACCCTCCCTAGCACCCAGCAGGACAAGTCTGCCCACACCCTCCTCACCAGAAACAGCAGAGGCCAGGGCGGCGGGACAAGGCCCTGCACTGGCAAAGCCACTGGGAGGGGAGCTCCAACACTAGAGACCAGCGTGGGGCTGACAGGACAGCAGCCGGCAGCAGCCAGCAGGCCAAGGGCAGCAAGTCAGGGTCAGGGCCGGGGGCAGCGGGTCAGGCCTGGGAGGGCAGGTGGGTCAGGGCCGGGGGCAGTGGGTCAGGGCCAGGGGCAGTGGGTCAGGTCTGGGAGGGCAGTGGGTCAGGTCTGGGAGGGCAGTGGGTCAGGCCTGGGAAGGCAGTGGGTCAGGGCTGGGAGGGCAGGTGGGTCAGGGCTGGGAGGGCAGGTGGGTCAGGGCCGGGGGCAGTGGGTCAGGGCCGGAGGCAGTGGGTCAGGTCTGGGAGGGCAGTGGGTCAGGCCTGGGAAGGCAGTGGGTCAGAGCTGGGAGGGCAGGTGGGTCAGGGCTGGGAGGGCAGGTGGGTCAGGGCTGGGAGGGCAGGTGGGTCAGGGCCAGGGCCAGTGGGGCAGGGCCAGGGCCAGTGGGGCAGGGCCAGGGACAGCAGATCAGGGCCAGGGGCAGCGGGGCAGGCCTGGGAGGGCAGCGGGCCAGGCCTGGGAGGGCAGCGGGCCAGGCCTGGGAGGGCAGGAGAGAGGTACCCACGGCCCCAGCCCGCCCTCACCTGTCGTGGTGGATAATGAGACTAATGGCCTCAAACAGCACGGCATTCTTGGCGTTCGAGTGCTGCACCTTCTTGGACTTGGGCGGCTCCTGCGCTTTGTTCAGGATGCTCTCCAGGCCCTCGGTCAGGCGGCCACGCACGGCGGGGTCTTCTGGGCGGGACAGAGAGCTGCTGGTGGGGCTCCCGGCCCAGCCTCCCCTGCCTAGGAGCCCACAAATCCTCTGAAAAGCCACGTGGCACCTCCTCAGATGGCTCAGGGTGAACGCCGTGGGGATCCCACACGCTCTGTGAACTCAAGAGAAATGAAGCCCGAGGGACCCGGGCCAAGCGCCCAGTCTGCAGGAGGGGACAAGGGTCTCACCTACTTGTCCAAAACACGCAGAGAAACTGTCCCTGATAACAAGAAGAGAACAACCTCGCGCTTCTACCCAACAGAAGGGTAAACAGGAATGGCTGCGCCTCAGAGAGGATGTGTCTGCTGCCCACGCCACTGCCGGGCTGGGGGGCACTCCCTCCAGCACGGGCTCGCGTGGGCACGGGCTACGTCCCCAGGAGCTGCCCAGGCAGGGCCATGCCCAGAGAGGCAGGCAGCAGGGAGGCAGCGCCCTGCTCCACCACAGAGCATGCCAGCTGCCAACCACAGCTTCACCCTCAGGTGACACAGAAGCCCCTGACCGAACAAGGAGACACCACAACCTCGAGGGACCGACTCAGGGGGGCAGAGAGGTCTGAGGCCACATTTGTCAACCCCCAAATCCTGGTTCTGGACACTACCCCGAGGACCCTCCCAGGACAGACACGGCAGCGCAGCACCAGTCCTGTGTGCAGCAAGGTCATAGGTCACACAGGCTGTGTACCCTAAGAATCTCATGATTTTTATTCTTTTCTTCAAAAGATTATTTCCAAAACTGCCCACATCTGACACTAGATAAACCCAAATCCTAACCAGCACCCATGACATGGCACCCACACCCGCAGGGAGGAGCTCAAGGCGTCCCGACCCAGCTCTGGCCACGCAGCCCTCACCTGGGGGTGGGTAGCACTGTAGCAGCCTCAGCAACTTGACTGAGAGCCAGGGAGCCGGGACAAAGTAGTACGTGTAATCCTGCAGGTCTGTGGACGCCGAGGTCACGATCTGCAAGACAGGGCTGTGAGGCGAGAGCACAGGCCGGGGAGGGGCAGGCGCTGCACAGGCCGCCTGTGGCCATGGTCCAGATACGATGACAGCCACCCAAGGCTCCCCCGAGGCCAGGTGCAGCCAGCGTGGCCGGCTCTGTGGAGTGGGTGCTGCACTCCGTGTGCACAAACCGGCCAGGACCAGTCACCACCACTGCCATGCAGCAACCACCCCCAGACACAGCATCTCCACCTGGCCCACGGGCTTCCCTCCAGGAGACGAGCAGGAGGGAGGGGGCACTCAGAGGCCAGCCAGTGGCCACACCTGTGTCCCCGAGCCCAGGCACTACCTCAGCGAGGAGCACATGAAGGCCACAGAGCATAGCCCGGGTCCCCGGTTCCCTCTCTGCCTGCTGTTCGCTGCCTGGCAGGCCCCAGGGCACAATCAACAGAACCTGGTCACAGCATAACCCCCACACCGCCCAGTGGACCGGACCCTCAATTCCACCCAGTAAGCGTGACCCCTCATACCACCAGTGGGTAGGACCAGCTCGCAACACCCCACTCCACGCACGTCACACACTAAACACTGACTTATCACACAACAACCCACTCCACGCACGTCACACACTAAACACTGACTTATCACACAACACCCCACTCCACGCACGTCACACACTAAACACTGACTTATCACACAACACCCCACTCCACGCACATCACACACTAAACACTGACTTATCACACAACACCCCACTCCACGCACGTCTCACACTAAACACTGACTTATCACACAACACCCCACTCCACGCACGTCTCACACTAAACACTGACTTATCACACAACACCCCACTCCACGCACGTCACACACTAAACACTGACTTATCACACAACACCCCACTCCACGCACGTCACACACTACATAAACACTGACTTATCACACAACACCCCACTCCACGCACGTCACACACTAAACACTGACTTATCACACAACACCCCACTCCACGCACGTCACACACTAAACACTGACTTATCACACAACACCCCACTCCACGCACGTCACACACTAAACACTGACTTATCACACAACACCCCACTCCACGCACGTCACACACTAAACACTGACTTATCACACAACACCCCACTCCACGCACATCACACACTAAACACTGACTAATCACACAACAACACACTAAACACTGACTAATCACACAACACCCCACTCCATGCACGTCACACACTAAACACTGACTTATCACACAACACCCCACTCCACGCACGCCTCACACTAAACACTGACTTATCACACAACACCCCACTCCACGCACGTCACACACTAAACACTGACTTATCACACAACACCCCACTCCACGCACGTCTCACACTAAACACTGACTTATCACACAACACCCCACTCCACGCACGTCTCACACTAAACACTGACTTATCACACAACACCCCACTCCACGCACGTCACACACTAAACACTGACTTATCACACAACACCCCACTCCACGCACGTCACACACTAAACACTGACTAATCACACAACACCCCACTCCACGCACGTCACACACTAAACACTGACTTATCACACAACAACCCACTCCACGCACGTCACACACTAAACACTGACTTATCACACAACACCCCACTCCACGCACGTCACACACTAAACACTGACTTATCACACAACACCCCACTCCACGCACGTCTCACACTAAACACTGACTTATCACACAACACCCCACTCCACGCACGTCTCACACTAAACACTGACTAATCACACAACACCCCACTCCACGCACGTCACACACTAAACACTGACTAATCACACAACACCCCACTCCACGCACGTCACACTGCGCACACACTGGATTACCAGCATGCACCCCAATACACAATGTGTCATTTAGAACATTATTTTGAAGTTTATTCATTTGTTTAAAAGGCAGAGTGACAGAAAAGGTAGGAGGAAAAAAACAGATTTTCCTAACTGGTCACTTCCTAAATGACCACAGCAACCAGCGCTGGGCCAGGCTGACCAGGAGCCAGCCAGGCCCTCCCATGGTGTTGGGCCAGAGCCATTGTTCAGTGCTGAGCCAGGCTGATCAGGAGCCAGGGAGACCAGCCAGGTTCTCCCATGGGTGCGAGGCCTGAGCCACCAGCCAGCACTGAGCCAGGCTGACCAGGAGCCAGGGAGACCAGCCGCCAGGGAGACCAGCCAGGTTCTCCCATGGGTGCGAGGCCTGAGCCACCGGCCAGCACTGAGCCAGGCTGACCAGGAGCCAGGGAGAGCAGTCAGATTCTCCCATGGGTGCCAGGCATGGGCCACCATCCGCTGCACCACCAGCTGAGTTCCCAGCAGAGGCAGGACTCAATCCAGGCCCCTGATGGGTGACGCAGCCAGACAAGCTGCCCAACAACAATCACTCCAGAAAAAGTGAATTATGTTAGAGTTTTGACCAGCACTGTAGCACAGCAAGCTAAGCTGCCACCTGTAGTGCTTGCACCCCGTAGGAGCTCTGGTTCAAGTCCTGGTTTCTCCACTTGTGTTTCAACTCCCTGCTGACGGCCTGGAAAAGCAGCAAGGAGGTCCTAGTCCTTGGATCCCTGCACCCACATGAGGGACCTGGCACACGCTCCTGCTTTGTTCTAGCCTAGCCCCAACAAGTGTGCTGCCATTGGGGGAGTGAACCAGCTCTCATTCTTGCTCACTTGATCTCTTGCTCTCTACTTTAAATCTTTTAAATGCTTCTAAAGTCTTTTCATAATTTATTTATTTGAACAAGAGAATGAGGCTGGTGCTGTGTGGCACAGCAGGTCAGTATCCCATATGAGCGCTGGTTCTTGTTCCGGCTGCTCCACTTCCCTCCAGCTCCTTGCTTGTGGCCAGGGAGAGCAGCGGAGGACAGCCTGAGCCCTTGGGCTCCTGCACCCACATGGGGGCCCAGAGGACCCTCCTGGCTCCTAGCTTGAGCTGGCACAATGCCAGCCTTGTGGTCATTTGGGAAGTGAGCCTGCTGACAGAAGCTCTCTCGATCTTTCTTTTCCCATCTCTCTGCCTTGTGACTCTTCTGTTCAGATAAATAAATACCTCTTTTTAAAAAATTCATTTTTAGGGCCAGCACAATGGTTCACCTTCTAAGTGCCAGGATCCCAACTGGGCACCAGTTCATGTCCAGGTGCTCCACTTCCCATCCAGCTCCCTATTGCATCCTGGGAAAGCAGCAGACGACAGTCCAAGGCCTTGGGACCCCACACCCGAATGGGAGATCCAGAAGAAGCTCCTGGCTCCCAGTTTTAGATTGGCTCAGCTGTTGCAGCCAGTTGGGGAATAAACCAGCAGCTTGAAGATCTTTCTGCATTTCCTTCTCTCTGTAAATTTGCCTTTCCAACAAAAATAAACAAATCTTAAAAGGGGAAAAAACCCCCACAATCTTAAAAAAAAAAAAAAAAAAAAAGTAAAATCACACAGAGAAAGAGATATTTCCATGTGCTGGTTCATCTCCCAAATGCCCAAACTCTGGGGGTTGCAGCAGGACAGGACCCCACACTCCCCAGGTCTCCGTGGGGCAGGCAGGACAGGAGCCCACACTCCCCAGGTCTCCATGGGGCAGGCAGGACAGGAGCCCACAATCCCCCAGGTCTCCATGGGGCAGGACAGGAGCCCACAATCCCCCAGGTCTGCATGGGGCAGGACAGGAGCCCACACTCCCCCAGGTCTGCATGGGGCAGGACAGGAACCAGGAGCCCACACTCCCCCAGGTCTGCATGGGGCAGGACAGGAACCAGGAGCCCACACTCCCCCAGGTCTGCATGGGGCAGGCAGGACAGGAGCCCACACTCCCCAGGTCTCCCAGGGGCAGGCAGGATCCCAAGCACTGGGACCATTGCCAGCTGCCTCCCGGGCACAGCAAGAGGCAGCCCAGGCACTCCAACAGGTGGCGCTGGCAGAGCAGGCAACAAAAGAACTTGGATCATGATAAGGGCCCAGAAACTGTCACAGCATGGAGACCTAAACTAAGACCTAGAAGCAGAGAAGTCAAGGAGACCCGGACACGGAGATGACTTCTGAGACACGGTGCTGGGGCCAAGGCACCGTGAGAGAACTAACCGGACTTCACGGAAAATGTCATGATTGTGTGTAACAGGGTGAAGGCCAACAGAGAGGCAGCTATTTCTAAACTCTGTGTGTGTGTGTGTGTGTGTGTGTGCGTATGTGTGAGAGAGACACAGAGAGAGAGACAAGCTCTAGGGTCACACAGTTCAAAGTGTGTGTGAGAGAGAGACAGGTACGGCCTGGACACACAGTTGAGCCCGTGTGTGTGTGAGAGAGAGAGAGAGACGGACAGACAGACACGGCCTGGGCACACAGCTGAGCCCGCGTGTGTGTATGTGTGTGTGTGTGTGTGTGTGTGCGCTCTCAAGCACCTGTTAAAAAACAGGCTGAACACACAGACAGCTCATGACACTTGGCAACACAACAAACCCCCGAGTTCAGCAAGAACAGAATGGCTATTTCTCCAAAGAACTGTAACAGCCAAGATGTCTCACTGGCCCCTGGGTAGGCCCAGCCCACCTACATGCCCTGGTGTGTCTCACTGCCCAGTTTGGCCCAGGTTAGGCCACCTGCATTGCCCCGGACTGCTGGGTCAGCACTGGACTTCCCACTGATACAGGCAGGAAGGCAGCACACGATGGACAAGGTGCCTGGGCCCGTTTCCCATGAAGAGGACCGAAAGGAGTTACTGTCTTCCAGCTTATCCTGGCCGGGGCGGGCTACGGCGGCCATCTGCACTTGATCTTCGCCAAAAGGCCGAGAAGCGACTGCTGCAGCCGTCTAGGGAGTAACCACTGCATGGGACACTACTCCCCCAATCTGTTTTTCAATTTAAAAAATAGAATAAAAATAGCTGAAACACAATCTAAGTAAATAAAAACGTGTGGCACAGAAGATGACGCTGGCATCCCACGTGAGTGGCAGCTCGAGTCCCAGCTACTCCACCTGCCAGCCAGCCCTGCCCGCACACGCCCACTTCCCACCTGAGCCTGGCCCAGGGCGGGACACACAGCCAACAGGGTGGACAAGGGAGAGAGGATCTCTCCTTGCTGTCTCCCTTTATTCCAATTTTTCCATTTAAAATAGAGATATACCATGTTTACACTCTGAAAGAAACCCAACTGAACTGGACAGCATTAAGGTGGGACAGACAGATGTCGGCTCTGTGAGCGCCAGCTCTGCAGGAAAGACACAAGTGTTTGTGTGAGGGGCTGGCCATTTGGGGACCAGGAGGGACCTGACAGCAGGGGGACCAGCAGGCATCTCCTTAGCCCTCCCTAGTCCAGGAGAGTCCTACGTGCAGAGCTGAGCCAGGCAGGTAAGGGTCTCCAGTGTTGTCACCTACATGCTAAGAGTACTCATTGTGCGGTCGCTGGTCACCTACAGGACAGGAAAGGTCACCCAGTACTCCCAGCAGGTGGCCAGGAGCCACGCTGTGCGGTCAGCAGATCTGCAAACAAGCAGCTGATGTCCGAAGGCCAATAACAACATAATGTTGGTAATTAGCCAACACAGCTACAGCCGAACAAGGAATTCCTCTTACAACACAGACAACAGACAGCCTGCTGCAAAAGGGGCAGAAGACACCAGCTCCTGACTCAGACATCTGGTCACCCACAGCTACTCAGCCCACCTGTAGGCACAGGGCTGTCCGGAGCCCACAGGAGTGACAGGACGGCCCTGCAGGCACTGCCTCCTCCCCAGCCCAGCAGTGCCACCATGGGTGACAGGCCCATCAACCCTGCACACCAACACATACAGATGGTCCACGCCTGCCTGTCACAGCCGCATCAGCCAGGAGTCCAGGGCATAGCGGCAGGGCCGGGTCCACACCACACAACAAGGCAACAACAGGTACACAAGACCAAGACTGACATACACGTGTATCACACGACCCACTAATCCAGAATTCAAGGCAGCCAGCACCAGATGATGGAGAGCCACAGAGGGAGGCAAGGCCTGACCCCACAACTGCATGAGGGTGCTGCCTGCGTGGCCCGGGCTGGAAGCAGGGCCTCCCAAGAGCTCTCGCACCTCGTGGCTGTACTCTGGCGCACGTCAACAGGGCGCTCTCAAGGTGGGAGAAAAACCAAGTGCTAACAATCTCGTTTTATAAACACACCGTGCATGCAGGCCAGCGGGGTGCCACGGCACAGCCTCCACCTGTGGTACTGGCAGCCCGTTCAAGCAAGCAGCTCACATCTCTGCTGTATCTCAGCTGCTCTACTTCCCATCCAGCTCCCAGCTCACGGCCTGGCAAAGCATCAGAGACAATGGACAAGAGCTTGCACCCCTGCACCACCTGACAGAGCCACAGAAGCTCCTGGCTCCTGGCTTTAGATCGACATCGCTCCGGCCATCGTGGCCACTTGAGGAGTGAATCAGCAGACGGAAGATCTTTCTGTCTCTCTTCCTCTCTGTATATCTGACTTTGCAATACAAATGAATAAATCTTTACAAACTATTCTATTTAGTAATTTGAGATATGGACAGTGAGAAGCCCAGAGGCAGAGAAAGGGATGGGGGGGCTCCTATCTCTGTCCACGACCCAAACACTCCCAGTGCCACGAAAGAAACAGGGCACAGGCAGAAAAAAACAACCCCACCCCACTCCCAGGCGGGGTGCAGTCCCACACTGGGGCCTCCCCTCTGCCCTGGGTCCCACACACCATCAGAACCCCACCCCACTCCCAGGAGGGGTGCAGTCCCACACTGGGGCCTCCCCTCTGCCCTGGGTCCCACACACCATCAGAACCCCACCCCACTCCCAGGAGGGGTGCAGTCCCATGCTGAGGCCTCCCCTCTGCCCTGGGTCCCACACACCATCAGAACCCCACCCCACTCCCAGGAGGGGTGCAGTCCCACACTGGGGCCTCCCCTCTGCCCTGGGTCCCACACTAGGAAGAAGCTAGAGTGAGAGACTAACCTGGGCCACCAGCCTATCTTCACCGCCAAATTCACAGCCAGACCAAGTCCCATACACTCTAAAGTCACACCCCAACAGAGCACAGCAGTCCGCATCCACACGCCCTCTCCACCCCTGCCCCACACGCACCTGCTTAGCCCACACCAATCTTGCCCCACCCATACCCCGCTCACCTGGCCTGCCCAACCTTGACCTGTCACACTGTCATGCCCACACCACAACCCATGCCCTGCCATGTCCACGCCCTCCCCATCTGAATGCCCAACCCCCACCTGCCATACCACAGCCCACCTGCTACACACACCACAGCCTACGCCCTCACCACAGTTAATGCCCACCTGCCCGGCCCCTGCCCACCTGCCACACCCACACCACACCCCTGTCCACCTATCATTCCTGACCCTACTCACCTGCCATGCCCACACCACAGTCCAGGCCCACCTGCCATGCCCTGCCATGCCACCCTGCCCTGCCTGGACCTGCCCCACCAACCCCTGACCTGCCCACCTGCCCACCTGGGCCCCGGCGCCACTCACCCTGCTCAGCCTGGAGACGGCCAGGGACACAGAGGCCTTGAACTCCTCTGGGTTCTTCTGCGCCAGGGTCGTTATCAGGCTCGTGGCAGCCGTGACCACACCCTGAAAAACAGAGGCAGCCAGCCATTCTCATTGCAGTCAAGTTTCAGAGCAGACCGCGCACTTTCAGCTCGTTTTCCAAATACAATCCCACAGACAGTTCCAGACTGAGCCACCACACACAGCCTTCAGGCTGCCCCAGCGGACCCACCACCCACACGTCTTCCTCTGTCCTGCTCGCTGGAAGCAGCCAGCCAGTGTGCTAGTCAGCGTCCTTGCTGCAGCCCACACGTCGCAGGCCACACCCCAGCGCTCAGGCCAGTGTCCAGCTCCACTCCCATCCTACCCTCCTGCTTACACATGTGCCGCAAGCAGGCAGACAAGGGCTCACAGGCCTGCACCACGTGGACGACCACTGGCTGTGGCCCCTGGCTCTGGCCTGGCCTAGCACTGGCTCTGGCATCCATTTTGCAAGTGTGTGGAGGATGGCACCTGGATGCCAGCCTGCAACCTGCTAGGCTGGACTCACGGCTTATCTGCCCATGAGCTGAGGCCTGCGTCCAGCCCTGTGTGCACAACATGACCTGACATAACTGAAGGCTCCAGAGGGTTAGACATGCCTTCCAGCCAATGACAGTGCCAGTGCTGGGTGGGAGGACTGCTGGGGACTGCCCTTCTGCCTGGTCTACTACATAAGCTGCTCCATGTGGTCTACTCTGTCTGCTGGATGCAGACATGCTCCATCAGACTGCCCCAGGGTTCTGCAGCCTCACCACGTCGGTGGTCTCGGCCTGCTGGCAAGAAGCCAACCCCCTCCCTGGAGAACAGTCAATTGGTGGGTACGAGACTTCTGCCTCTAGCTCTCTTTCAAATAAGTTTTTACCAGAGAGCAGACAGGGAGATGTGGCCTTGCACGACCAGTCCCTGCCCCAGGCGGGCTCGTGGCTACACTGCCCCAGTCCTCTGAGCCCACAGCCAGCAGGCAGCCTGCAAACACCCCAGCCCCACCCGCAGGCCCTGCTCACACAGGCCGCCAAGGCTAAGCGTGGGGGGCAATTTCTCACATGGAAGAGCCAGGGAGAGTGGCACTGCTGGCTGCGAGCTGTGAGCATCACCCTGAGCCTTAGGACCCACACAGCCAGGCTGGAGCCTGGAGGCCCAAGGAGACAAGTCAAGGCCCACGGCAGAGGTTCGGGGCCAGGAGAGTGCCGAGTGCCCACCACAGAGTATCCAGGACAGCGAGTCTCCCTCGGGGCACGTGCTCGGCCCCCATCAGAGTGGAAACAGGACAGGGAACATGCCTGTCCCCCCTGAAAAACCCCCCGCCTGTCCCCCCCTGACAGACCCCCCGCCTGTTCCCCCTGACAGACCCCCCGCCTGTCCCCCCCGACAGACCCCCCGCCTGTTCCCCCTGACAGACCCCCCGCCTGTCCTCCCCGACAGACCCCCCGCCTGTCCCCCCTGACAGCCCCCCCGCCTGCCTGTCCCCCCTGACAGACCCATGCCTGTCCTCCCTGACAGACCCCCCGCCTGTCCCCCCTGACAGCCCCCCCGCCTGTCCCCCCTGACAGACCCCCCGCCTGTCCCCCCGACAGACCCATGCCTGTCCTCCCTGACAGACCCCCCGCCTGTTCCCCCGACAGACCCCCCGCCTGTCCCCCCAACAGACCCCCCGCCTGTTCCCCCCTGACAGACCCCCCGCCTGCCTGTCCCCCCTGACAGCCCCCCCGCCTGTCCCCCCTGACAGACCCATGCCTGTCCCCCCTGACAGACCCCCGCCTGTCCCCCCTGTGACAGACCCCCCGCCTGTCCCCCCTGACAGCCCCCCCGCCTGTCCCCCCTGACAGACCCCCAGCCTAGCCCCCCTGACAGACCCCCCGCCTGTCCCCCTGACAGACCCCCGCCTGTCCCCCTGACAGACACCCCGCCTGTCCCCCCGACAGACCCCCCAGCTTGTCTGGCCTGGTGCCAGTTGCCACCCAGGGTCTGACCAGTGCAGGTGCCAGTAACTGTGAGCCTGTTTCACCCCATGGGTAAGACTTGACCCATACCACCCACACTCCTCACCCTCTCCCATCTGGGGCTCCCCTCCTCCCTGGGCTGTGCCCGGCTCAGGCCACACCACAGTCAATGCCTGCCAGCATCTCACAGGACGCCTGTGCCAAGGCCTGGATTCTGAGCCCAGGGCTCTTCAGGTAGTGGGTTCTGTGTGTAACCCGGGGGTCTGTCAGGGTGCACAGGCAGGCCGGGGTCTCAAAACCCCACGCACGCAGCCCAGAAGGTCTCATGGCAACACACTCCCACGTGCAGAGACGTCTCAAGTGTCCCCGTGGGGGAATTCAGTTCTGGGACAGCAGGAACTGGCCAGCACACTCCGCCAGCCACTGGGCAGGACACATGGACTCGTGGTTTCCGGGTTACGCACAGAACCCAGGCAGGACAGGCCCCGCTACACCGGTGACCTCATGGGGCCTGCCCTGGAGTGTGGGCAGCACCTGGCACTGCCCGTGTCCAACCTCCACTGCTGTGTGCAAATGGGGGCTGAGCTCACTGCCTAGCCGCAAAGGGCCACGCGTATACATGGCCATGCAGAGGGTCCCTACGTGTCCACGGGGCTGCGCTCAGTTGCACACTACTCTCAGCGTAACCCGACGCGTCCATGGTGCTGTGCTCAGCCATGTGAAGTGACTGCACACAAAACGTGTCGCACCAGCCCTAAGCAGGGCCGCCGAGAGAATGACCTGCCACCTGCTGCTCTTGGTCTCTGCGTCCTATGGGCCCCCTTCCAGGATGTCCGGAAACAGCCCGGGGACAGGGGCCTCGCACCCCACACTGCGCCTTCTGACAGTGCAACTGGGAGGTCACACACACCCCACGCCACACTGGGCTGTGCTACTGCAATTATCCCCACACTGACCATCCCCCAGAACGACCATCCCCCACAGTGGTCATCCCCCACAGCGGCCTTCCCCAACACTGGCCATCCCCCACACTGGCCATCCCCCATAGTGGTCATCCCCCAACAGCAGCTGTCCCCAACACTGGCCATCCCCCACACTGGCCATCCCCCAGAACGACCATCCCCCATACTGACCATCCCCTAGAACGACCATCCCCCACACTGGCCATCCCCCATAGTGGCCTTCCCCAACACTGGCCATCCCCCACAGTGGTCATCCCCCACAGCGGTCATCCCCAACAATGGCCATCCCCTACACTGGCCATCCCCCACACTGACCATCCCCCCACAGCAGCCATCCCCCACACTGACCATCCCCCCACAGCAGCCATCCCCCACACTGACCATCCCCCCACAGCAGCCATCCCCCACACTGACCATCCCCCCACAGCAGCCATCCCCCACACTAACCGTCCCCCACACTGACCATCCCCCCACACTGACCATCCCCCACATTGACCATCCCCCAGAACGACCATCCCCCACACTGACCATCCCCCACAGCGGCCTTCCCCAACACTGGCCATCCCCCACACTGGCCATCCCCCACAGTGGTCATCCCCCAACAGCAGCTGTCCCCAACACTGGCCATCCCCCACAGCAGCCATCCCCCACACTGACCATCCCCCCCACACTATCCGTCCCCCACACTGACCATCCCCCACAGCAGCCATCCCCCACACTGACCATCCCCTCACACTGACCGTCCCCCCCCACACTATCCGTCCCCCACACTGACCATCCCCCACACTAACCGTCCCCCACACTGACCATCCCCCCACACTGACCATCCCCCACACTGACCATCCCCCACAGCAGCTGTCTGGTGGGTCAGGGTGGACTGAGTGCAGAAGCGCTTACCAGATGCTGGTCATTGAGGAGGTGGACCACTCGGGATGTCCAGTCACCCATGGGCACGAGGTCAGGGGATGTTCTATACAAGCGCAGCAGACACAGGGCGGCACTCTGCTTCACACTATCCATAGTGTCTCTGAAAGACAGATGGCACGGGCACTTGCCAGCAGCCGGTCCAGCCCCCGGGGCCCCCATGAGCTGGGCATCCCCATGAGCTCAGCAGCAGGCCAGAAGGCCCCCGACAAGGCCGCTTCGCGCCAGCTCCTCTCCCCTCAGCTCTGCCCCATGGACCCCAAGCACAGGCCGGGCAGCCTGGGACAGCACTGCCGGCAACCTCTGGCACCACCCCCACATTCCCCAGTTGCTCTGAGCAAGCCTGCCTTGGGCACTGAGCGCGTCCACTCGATGCCCCCGTGCCCAGGCCAGCACCCCAGCAGCCAGCCCAGCCCCGGGGCCCTGCAAACTCCAGAGCTCACTGGCTGTCTCCTGTCTTGCCTCCAAAGCAGCTTCAGCTGGGGAAGCACTGTGGGGCAGCGGGCAGAGCCGCCCATGGGACTCCAGCACCCCAAATGGGCACCAGTTCATGTCCCAGCTCCTCCCCTTCCCATCCAGCTCCCTGCCTGTGGCCTGGGAAAGCAATCAAGTACGGCCCAAAGCCTTGGGACCCTGCACCCACAGGAGAGACCTGGAAGAGGCTCCTGACTCCTGGCTGTTGCCTGGCCCAGCCCTAACCATTGTGAAAATTTGGGAAGTAAACCAACAGATGGAAGATCTCTCTCTCTGACCTTCAAATAAATATAGCTTTAAGAAAACAGCTTGGGGCCTGGCACCATGGCCTAGCGGCTAAAGTCCTTGCCTTGAATGTGCCGGGATCCCATATCGGCGCCGGCTCTAATCCTGGCAGCTCTACTTCCCATCCAGCTCCCTGCTTGTGGCCTGGGAAAGCAGTCGAGGACAGCCCAAAGCTTTGTGACCCTGCATCCGCATGGGAGACCCAGAAGAGGTTCCTGGTTCCCGGCTTCAGATCGACGCAGCGCCAGCCATTACGGTCATTTGGGGAGTGAATCGTCGGATGGAAGATCTTCCTCTCTGTCTCTCCTCCTCTCTGTATATCTGACTTTGTAATAAAAAATAAATAAATAAATCTTAAAAAAAAAAAAAGAAAAGAAAAGAAAACAGCCTGGCAGGCTGGTGTGGCAGGCAGCCTAGTGACAATCCTCTCCTTGCTTGTGCTGGATCCCACCTGGGCGCCAGTTCTTGTCCCACTGTTCCATTCCCATCCAGCTCCCTGCTTGTGGCCTGGGAAAGCAGTCCAGGACAGCCCAAGGCCTTGGGACCCTGCACCTACGTGGAGACCCAGAGGTGGCTCCTGGCTTCAAATTACCTCAGCCCTGGCGGATGCAGCTACTTGGAAAGTGAACCAGTGGATGGAAGATCTTCCTCTCTGTCTCTCCTCCTCTCTAATATATCTGACTTTCCAAATAAATAAAATAAAATATCTCAGAGCTCTCTCTGCCAGAGTTCTGGCCCCTTGCCTTCTCTCCCCTGAGCAGCAGGGACAGACACCTTGAGGGCCTACTGCCTGATGAGGCACATGAGGAGAGGCAGGGGTGAGGGCTGAGTGGGAGGGGGAGGCACGTGAGGAGAGGCAGGGGTGAGGGCTGAGTGGGAGGGGGAGGCAGGGGGAAGGGGAGCCAGGGGTGAGGGCTGAGTGGAAGGGGGAGGCAGGGGCAAGGGGAGGCAGGGGTGAGGGCTGAGTGGGAGAGGGGAGGCACGTGAGGAGAGGCAGGGGTGAGGGCTGAGTGGGAGGGGGAGGCACGTGAGGAGAGGCAGGGGTGAGGGCTGAGTGGGAAGGGGAGGCAGGGGCAAGGGGAGGCAGGGGTGAGGGCAGAGTGGGAGGGGAGGCAGGGGGAAGGGGAGGCAGGGGTGAGGGCTGAGTGGGAGGGGGAGGCAGGGGGAAGGGGAGCCAGGGGTGAGAGCTGAGTGGGAGAGGGGAGGCACGTGAGGAGAGGCAGGGGTGAGGGCTGAGTGGGAGGGGGAGGCACGTGAGGAGAGGCAGGGGTGAGGGCTGAGTGGGAGGGGGAGGCAGGGGGAAGGGGAGCCAGGGGTGAGAGCTGAGTGGGAGAGGGGAGGCACGTGAGGAGAGGCAGGGGTGAGGGCTGAGTGGGAGGGGGAGGCACGTGAGGAGAGGCAGGGGTGAGGGCTGAGTGGGAGGGGGAGGCACGTGAGGAGAGGCAGGGGTGAGGGCTGGGTGGGAGGGGGAGGCAGGGGGAAGGGGAGGCAGGGGTGAGGGCTGAGTGGGAGGGGGAGGCAGGGGGAAGGGGAGGCAGGGGTGAGGGCTGAGTGGGAGGGGGAGGCACGTGAGGAGAGGCAGGGGTGAGGGCTGGGTGGGAGGGGGAGGCAGGGGGAAGGGGAGGCAGGGGTGAGGGCTGAGTGGAAGGGGGAGGCAGGGGCAAGGGGAGGCAGGGGTGAGGGCTGAGTGGGAGAGGGGAGGCACGTGAGGAGAGGCAGGGGTGAGGGCTGAGTGGGAGGGGGAGGCACGTGAGGAGAGGCAGGGGTGAGGGCTGAGTGGGAAGGGGAGGCAGGGGCAAGGGGAGGCAGGGGTGAGGGCAGAGTGGGAGGGGAGGCAGGGGGAAGGGGAGGCAGGGGTGAGGGCTGAGTGGGAGGGGGAGGCAGGGGGAAGGGGAGCCAGGGGTGAGAGCTGAGTGGGAGAGGGGAGGCACGTGAGGAGAGGCAGGGGTGAGGGCTGAGTGGGAGGGGGAGGCACGTGAGGAGAGGCAGGGGTGAGGGCTGAGTGGGAGGGGGAGGCAGGGGGAAGGGGAGCCAGGGGTGAGAGCTGAGTGGGAGAGGGGAGGCACGTGAGGAGAGGCAGGGGTGAGGGCTGAGTGGGAGGGGGAGGCACGTGAGGAGAGGCAGGGGTGAGGGCTGAGTGGGAGGGGGAGGCACGTGAGGAGAGGCAGGGGTGAGGGCTGGGTGGGAGGGGGAGGCAGGGGGAAGGGGAGGCAGGGGTGAGGGCTGAGTGGGAGGGGGAGGCAGGGGGAAGGGGAGGCAGGGGTGAGGGCTGAGTGGGAGGGGGAGGCAGGGGGAAGGGGAGGCAGGGGTGAGGGCTGAGTGGGAGGGGGAGGCAGGGGGAAGGGGAGGCAGGGGTGAGGGTTGAGTGGGAGGGGGAGGCAAGGGCAAGGGGAGGCAGCGGTGAGGGCTGAGTGGGAGAGGGGGAGGCAGGGGCAAGGGGAGGCAGGGGTGAGGGCTGAGTGGGAGGGGGAGGCAGGGGGAAGGGGAGGCAGGGGTGAGGGTTGAGTGGGAGGGGGAGGCAAGGGCAAGGGGAGGCAGCGGTGAGGGCTGAGTGGGAGAGGGGGAGGCAGGGGCAAGGGGAGGCAGGGGTGAGGGCCGGTGGGAAAAAGGAGATAAGGGACAAAGTGTGAGCTCCCCTTGAAGCTTGAGGACACCAGCACCCTCTGGTGGGATAATGGGAGCTTACACATCTCTACAAGTTCCACACCAGCAGGCCTGCCGTCCCCACTCCCCTCTGTGCCTGGGCTTCATGCCACCCTTCACCCATCACACGTCCCGGACACTCACCTCTCCCACAGGAGACACACAACAGCCCAGCACAGGCTGACTGGGTCCTGGGGTACCCACAAAACCCAGAGCGGGCACAGGCAGCTGAGATATGGCGAGGCACTGCAGGTAAGCCAAGAGCCCCCAACAGAGGGAGCAGCCGCTGTGGCCCCAACACATGCTGGGGGTCTCTGGAGGTGCCCTCCCTCCCCACAGGCCCACAGAGGACGGCACCCGGGGGCCTGTCGGGGCCCAGTGCTGCGCACAGCATCCTGGACTCACTCTGTATTCAGTGCACCTGCTGCAGGTAGAGGTAAGCCGGGAACCTGGTCGCCGGCTGCCCTTGGGTTTGCAATCGCAGTCAGCCTGCACACGGCCCCACATCAGGCCCATTAGCAGATATTTTAGGTGCTGCAGCCAAAGCACGGCCAGCCAGACACGGAGTCAGAGTCTAGGGGTGGCTCACGGTTCGACTCCTGGTGTTTCCCCTGGGCAGAGGCCACAGCAGGCTCCTGCCTGCCCTGGGAGGGGGTGCAGCTGGCTGATCAGCACTGAAACAGGTTCCATGCCTCGCCTTTCCCTCCTCCTCTTGTGCAATCCAAGCATCCAGCAACATCTAGTCCACCGACAGCCTGACACAGGTTCCAGAGGCTCAGTACACCTGGCTCCCCCAATTAACTATAGGGCAACTTGGGCCTCCTGCCACTTAATTAGTTAATGAATGCATGAAACTCTGTCCTGATTGGAGGAGGAGAGATTATAACCCCTGACGGCGGCCACCCAGAGCAGAGGCTCCTGGCGTGCAGTGGGAGCTGCTGTCTGCACCTCCCATGTCAGCACCTCCTAACACCTACATGTGAGTCTGAGGTGATCGCCTGCACTTTGCAACACCCTCCCCAGCTCCTCCAGACACAGCCTTACTGTCACAGCACAGCCCGACGGCTCCATTCTGCTCTGCGCCTGCCGCCGCCCCAGCTGCAGAGGACACACGTCCACAGGCGCCCTCTGCCATGGAGCATCCAGACCGAGGCACTTCACTCAGGCATCCACCCTCGGCCAGAGTTCAAGAGTAGGTCATTTCTCTCCGGGAGTAGCCAGTGTTTCCATGTGGTCTGAGTGTTCCAAGACAACAGAAGGCCTTCCATGACTGGCCCCCCTGGAGCGGCTCCAGGGAGATGGCCCAGCCCTACGCCCGGGGACCCACTGCCCCCACGACCTTACCTGGAGAACCCAAGGACCTACCCACAATAGCCCTGAGCCAGGGGAACCTGTGGACCCTGCCCACCAAACCCTATACCCAAGCAACCCAAAGAACCTTCCCGCCACAGCCCTGTGCCCAGGGACATGCAGGCCATGCCCGCCACAGCCCTGTGCCAGGGAAACCCGCCCACCCTGCCCACGACAACCCTATGCCAGGGAAACCCACCAGCCTTGCCTGCCACAGCCCTGTGCCCAGGTACCCACGGCTCCTGCCCGCCACAGCCCTGTGCCCAGGCACCCGCGGCTCCTGCCAGCCACAGCCCTGTGCCCAGGCTTCTCTGGGAACTGCTTTGCCTTCCTTCACAGCCAACAGCCGGTGGGCCACAGGCTCACCCAGATGCTGTAACTGCACATGCACTGTGCGACCTGCAGCCTGGGGGACCCTGTGTGACATCCCAGCATCATGGTCAGGGACCCTGCAGCCTGGGGGACCCTGTGTGACACCCCAGCATCAGTCAGGGACCCTGCAGCCTAGGGGACCCTGTGTGACACCCCAGCATCAGTCAGGGATCCTGCAGCCTGGGGGACCCTGTGTGACACCCCAGCATCACAGTCAGGGACCCTGCAGCCTGGGGAACCCTGTGTGACACCCCAGCATCATGGTCAGGGACCCTGCAGCCTGGGGGACCCTGTGTGACACCCCAGCATCAGTCAGGGACCCTGCAGCCTGGGGGACCCTGTGTGACACCCCAGCATCAGTCAGGGATCCTGCAGCCTGGGGGACCCTGTGTGACATCCCAGCATCATGGTCAGGGACCCTGCAGCCTGGGGAACCCTGTGACACCCCAGCATCATGGTCAGGGACCCTGCAGCCTGGGGGACCCTGTGTGACACCCCAGCATCACAGTCAGGGATCCTGCAGCCTGGGGGACCCTGTGTGACACCCCAGCATCATGGTCAGGGACCCTGCAGCCTGGGGGACCCTGTGTGACACCCCAGCATCACAGTCAGGGATCCTGCAGCCTGGGGGACCCTGTGTGACACCCCAGCATCATGGTCAGGGATCCTGCAGCCTGGGGGACCCTGTGTGACACCCCAGCATCATGGTCAGGGACCCTGCAGCCTGGGGGACCCTGTGTGACACCCCAGCATCATGGTCAGGGACCCTGCAGCCTGGGGGACCCTGTGACACCCAGCATCAGTCAGGGATCCTGCAGCCTGGGGAACCCTGTGACACCCCAGCATCATGGTCAGGGACCCTGCAGCCTGGGGGACCCTGTGTGACACCCCAGCATCACGGTCAGGGACCCTGCAGCCTGGGGGACCCTGTGTGACACCCCAGCATCAGTCAGGGACCCTGCAGCCTAGGGGACCCTGTGTGACACCCCAGCATCAGTCAGGGACCCTGCAGCCTGGGGGACCCTGTGACACCCCAGCATCACGGTCAGGGACCCTGCAGCCTGGGGGACCCTGTGACACCCCAGCATCACAGTCAGGGACCCTGCAGCCTGGGGAACCCTGTGTGACACCCCAGCATCACGGTCAGGGACCCTGCAGCCTGGGGGACCCTGTGTGACACCCCAGCATCAGTCAGGGACCCTGCAGCCTGGGGAACCCTGTGTGACACCCCAGCATCAGTCAGGGACCCTGCAGCCTGGGGGACCCTGTGTGACACCCCAGCATCAGTCAGGGATCCTGCAGCCTGGGGGACCCTGCAGCCTGGGGAGCCCTGTGTGACACCCCAGCATCATGGTCAGGCTCCCAACTACTGCTTATTTAAGCACCTCTTTGACCACAAGCTCTTTCCACACATAAAATCAGACCCTAGGAGCCTACAGAGACCAGGACGCGTGCTGAGCAAAGGATAGGGCATCAGTGCCTAGAGGCAGCAGGTCCAGGGGCCTCACTGAGATGTGCTGTGGCATCAGTAGGCGAGGAGTTGAGGGCACACTGGCTCCAAGCCAGCAAGCCTCCCCATGTCCAGTCCTGCCTAGCCCCACCCCTCAGTCGCACTGTCTCCATCCTGGCAACTTGAGCAATACCCCGGTATCCGCCACCAGAGGGCAGCAGCACTTCCATGGGGACAAGCAGGACAGCAGATCTTGCACAAAGCTTCCTGGGCAAACCCAGCCCATGGCCCCCTGGGCAGACTGTCCACGGCCTCCTGGGCAAACCCAGCCCATGGCCCCCTGGGCAGACTGTCCACAGCCCCCAGGGCAGACTCCATCCATGGCCTCCCAGGCACACACAGCCCCCTGGGCAGACTCCATCCATGGCCTCCCAGGCACACACAGCCCGCAGCCCCTGGGTGGACCCTGTGCATGGGGGGACCTGTTTCTCCAAAGCCTTCCACCACCTCCTCCAGTCTGCCACGCGGGAGGGGGCTATGTCCACCCACTTCCCTGTAGGCTGCCAACTCTGCTCAGCCAGTGTTGGGGCACTGACCATTTCCTGCCCTGTGATTGGCCCTTTGCCCTGATTGGTGTGCCTTGGTGATCTTTAAGCTGATTGGACAAGTTTGACAGTTAAGCGGGGGCTTGGCGAGGGAGGGGCTGGAGCTTAACGGTCATAACGGTTTCAACGGAAGATCGGAATAAAGCGCCTCGGAGACTCTCTCAAGTGTCGGGTGATTTCTTCCGCGGGACGGGAGGACCCCAATAGGCCAGTCCACACCAGCCTGGTCCAGAGTAAACCAGGCTATCCATCTCCTCCTGGGTGCCAGCATCATGCTGAGGTCTGAACCCACAGTGGGGGAAAGACTCCCCTCCTATGTCCACCCTCCAAGTCTCAGCAGTGCTGGGCGGGGAAGACTAAACTTGCCCTGTAGCCCAAAACCTCACCAGCCACAGGAGAGTGAAGGTTACACATCATGAGGTCCACACAGCTCATCCTTGACCACTAACCACGAGGGCACGCTGTCCACACGTGACCACTTCACCATGAGGACACACTGCCCAACTGTGACCACTGGCCATGAGGCTGCCCTGCCCATCTGTGACCACTTCACCATGAGGACACACTGCCCAACTGTGACCACTGGCCATGAGGCTCTCCTGCCCACACGTGACCACTTCACCATGGGGACACACTGCCCATCTGTGACCACTGGCCATGAGGCTGCCCTGCCCACACGTGACCACTTCACCATGGGGACACACTACCCAACAGTGATAGCTCACTATATGGCACACTGCTCACCTGAGACCACTGACCAGAAGGGGGCCCTGCCCGCCCATGACCGCTAACCAGACGGGGCCCTGCCCGCCCATGACCAGTACACACCCTGCTACGAGGATCTTGGGGATCTCCCCGGCGAACGCCTCGGCCATCTCGCGGCTGCCCACGTTGGCGATGCAGTGCAGGGCCAGGCCCATGAAGGTGGGGTTCCGGCTGGCCAGGTCGTTCTTGATGGCGTTGTTGATGAGGCGGATGAGCTCGCTGTTGGAGTTCACCAGCACAGAGATGAAGAGGTAGCCCTGTGTGGAGAGGACGCACCACGCAGTGACCCCACCGCCCCAGCACCGCACCTGCCGTGTGCGCCGCGTACAGCACCAGCCCCGGGAGCACTGGGCCACCCAGCAGGGGACAGGCCCCTGCTCAAGGGTGCACAGCCTGCAGCAGCCCCACTCGGGCCCGGCCCCCACGGCACTCACAATCTGCTTCTCCGTGTATCTGTTGGAGCTGAGCAGGTTTACAGCCTCCATGTGTCCAAAGTCAATGTCGTGACCGAGGAGGAAGATGAAGAGCAACTTGCAGACATACTTCTTCTTACTGTAGCCATCAAGAGCCTTGTCACCTACAGAGCAGGGCAGGAGTCACCTCACGGGCCAGCGAAGGCCAGGGCAGCAGCGGGAGGGGCCGCGGGCAAAGCACTGAGCCGAGACTTTCAAACCCACAAGCTGGCACGCCTGGCATCCCAGGTTCCACCTCCCAGGAAGGTCGGGCCGAGGCTGTGGCACAGAGTCAACCTCGGCCTCACTCAATCCCTCCTGTGGCTAAAGAACCTGCGAAGCCACCCAGGGCTGACGCGTTTCTTTCTGAAAGATCCAGAAGGGTCATAGGTGGTCAGAAGTTGCCCACCACTGATTCACTCCCCAATGGCTGTAACAGCTGGAGCTGGGGCAGCACATGCTCTAGGGCCAGAAACTACCCACACCTCCCCCATGGGCCGGGGACAGGCCGGGGACTCAGGACTTGGGCCGTCTTCAGCTGCCCTCACAGGCCTCCCCCGTGGGCCGGGGACAGGCCAGGGACGCAGGATTCGGGCTGTCCTCCGCTGCCCTCCCAAGCCCGTCAGCATCACAGCTGGGAGTCAGGTGCTGGTGTCCCACATGGGGGCCCTGCCCACACACCACAAGGGCCACCCCAAGCCAACCGCTCCAGGGGCAATTACTGAGCAGATGAGCCCACCGTGGACTGGCAGGGCAAACCCATCCCTGCAAGACATCAAACCTCACTTCACAGAGAATGCCCTAATGCCAGGGGCCTGGGGGCACAGTTCTTTGGGACCACAAGCAGGGCTGCAACCTGAGCTGGCTCAGGAGGGGTGGGACATGCACAAAGGCACCTTGGGTCAGGGTGGGCAGACTGGGTTCGCTAAGGAGTAGGCCACTCGTGTCCCAGGGACAAGCGCCTCATTGTAAACTGCTTCCCTCTTACGTGGGAACCACCCAACTTGCTGTGTGTCCTCTCCCACGCTGATTCTCTTCAAAACCACCAGCTCTGTATTGGGCCCAACCAGGTTTTGACGCCAGCATCCAGAGCAAGGCTGAGTCTCAGTAACGTCTGGGCTGCACAACGCAGACGCCATTGCTGACCCTTCCTCCGGGCAGACAGGGAGGGGCGCACAGGGCCAGCCACATCGTGCCCCCAGCCATCGTGCGGCCTACAAAACTGCTCCGGCACCAGCTATTCTAGAGCAGCTGCATGTGGGTCAACGCCCATATCAACACAATCTCCACCCAACACCATGCAAAGCCTGAGAAGATCCACACACAGCACCGGCTCCCTCGGCCATCTCCTCCCTCAGCACCGGCTCCCTCAGCCATCTCCTCCCTCAGCACCGGCTCCCTCAGCCATCTCCTCCCTCAGCACCGGCTCCCTCAGCCATCTCCCACAGCACCGGCTCCCACAGCCATCTCCTCCCTCAGCCATCTCCTCCCACAGCACCGGCTCCCTCAGCCATCTCCTCCCTCAGCACCGGCTCCCTCAGCCATCTCCTCCCTCAGCACCGGCTCCCTCAGCCATCTCCTCCCTCAGCACCGGCTCCCTCAGCCATCTCCTCCCTCAGCACCGGCTCCCTCAGCCATCTCCCTCAGCACCGGCTCCCTCAGCCATCTCCTCCCTCAGCACCGGCTCCCTCAGCACCGGCTCCCTCAGCCATCTCCTCCCTCAGCACCGGCTCCCTCAGCCATCTCCTCCCTCAGCACCGGCTCCCTCAGCCATCTCCCTCAGCACCGGCTCCCTCAGCCATCTCCTCCCTCAGCACCGGCTCCCTCAGCACCGGCTCCCTCAGCCATCTCCTCCCTCAGCACCGGCTCCCTCAGCCATCTCCTCCCTCAGCACCGGCTCCCTCAGCCATCTCCTCCCTCAGCACCGGCTCCCTCAGCACCGGCTCCCTCAGCCATCTCCTCCCTCAGCACCGGCTCCCTCAGCCATCTCCCTCAGCACCGGCTCCCTCAGCCATCTCCTCCCTCAGCACCGGCTCCCTCAGCCATCTCCTCCCTCAGCACCGGCTCCCTCAGCCATCTCCTCCCTCAGCACCGGCTCCCTCAGCCATCTCCTCCCACAGCACCGGCTCCCTCAGCCATCTCCTCCCACAGCACCGGCTCCCTCAGCTCCTGGCTCATGGTGCCCTCTGTGACATGTGGGGAGAAGCAGCAGCTGGAAGACCTGGATTTATCTTTCCCTCTGTAACTCTTCCTTCTAATAAATAAACAACTTCCCACTCCACGCCTGCCAATACACAGGCAGACTGAGGTCTGGCACGCACCATGTCCCCTCCCACACTGGCCTCAGACCCCGCGTGCTTCTAGTGCAGACACCAGAGGCAGAAGGATGGTTCTGGAAACGGGCTCGTGCTGCCCATGCAAGGGACCCAGGCTGAGTGCTCAGCTCCAGATTCAGCCAGGCCCCAGCTGCAAGTGCAGATGGGGGAGGGGTGACATGCACCCTCCCTCCTGTCTCTGCTCCCTCTAACTGTGACAACAAGTGCTGGCAGGAAGGCCAAGGGGCCTCCATGCGGCGCAATCCCACAGGAAGACAGCAGGGCCGCAGGGCTTCAGTGCCAGGCAGCCAGACCCCTGCTGGAGCTGCACTCCCACGCTGGGCTCACGCCCACAACAGGTGGCAGTTGCATCAAGACCTCCACTCACACCCTGGTTCTCCATGGCCACAAGGTGGAAGAGCCAGCCCCATCACAGCAGGTGGACACGCCACATTCCACTCCTGCTTGGGACATACGTCCATGCTCAAACCTCTAGCACTACGTTTTCTCATTAATGATTTATTTAGAAAGTCAGAAAGAGGGAGAGACAGAAAAGGGTGTTCTACTCCCCTGGGGGCCAGCACTGTGGGAAATGGCTGGGCAGGCTGGCACCAGGGGCCAGCACTGAGGGAAATGGCTGGGCAGGCTGGCACCAGGGGCCAGCACTGAGGGAAACAGCTTGGCTGGCTGGCATCCAGGGGCCTGAACTGTGGCATATTGGGCTAAGTGTCCACCTGCAGCTGGCATCCCATACAAGCAGCAGTTCCCATCCCAGCTGGTCCACTTTTGGCCCAACTTCCCATTACTGCCTGCGGAAAGGCAGCAGAGAACAGCCAAGCATCGCATTCCAGATGAAGCTCCTGGCCTGAGCCTGTCCGCGGCTTTTGGCCATCTGAGGAACAAGCCAGGGGACAGCAGCTCAGTCTGCATGGCTGTGGGTGTACACACATGGGTGTGCAGTATACACACATAGGTGTGGGTAAACACGTGTGTGAGGGTGTACACGTGGGTATGTGGGGTGTATACATGTGGTCTGGGTGTACATGCGTGGGTGTACATGCGTGGGTGTGGGTGTACACACACAGGTGTGGATGTACACGCATGGGTGTAACATTCTCTCTCTGACTTCCAAAACAAACAGATATATTTTTTAAAAGGGGGTGGCACTGGAAGGCAGGCCAGCTTGCATCCTCACAGCTGCCCGTGCCCTGAGCAGGTCACCATCTAGCATGCACCCGACCCAGAGGCACGTGAGGGCAGAAGGCATCCCACGGCAGGCCCCACCGCCCCGGCACCGCCCGGCCACTCACCTTTGAACTTAGACCGAATGTTCGCCAGCTCCTTGTTGATCCTCTTTATCTCGGCCTCTTTGCTTTTGCCTGAAAAACACAGACAGGCCTTTAGTTCACCTTCACTCCATCATAGGCCACTGCGTGCGGGTGGCCCAGGGCTCCCGGCTCAGGCCTGCTGCGGCCAGCTGATGCAAGGACACAGCAGACCCGTGATGCATCCCTCTGCCAGGGGATGGTCCAACAGCACCATTTTTTTAAAGTTTGGTTTTCATCTGAAAGGCAGAATTACAGAGGGTAGAAGAAAAACAGAGAGAAAGAATGATCCATCCGCTGGTTCACCCCTCAAATGGCCACAATGGCTGGAACTGATCTCCCGGCACTCCCGTGTGGCGCAGCGTCCCAAGGACATGGGCCATCCTCCACTGCCCTCCCCAGTCATAAGCAGGGAACTGGAGGGGAAGTAGAGCAGCCACGACCTGAACCTAGGTCCACTCCAAATGCCAGAGCCAAAAGTGGAAGCTTAGTCCACCACACCATGGTGCTGGCCCCCAGTACAGCTTCTTAATTCCACCTTTTTACCACAGCTTTGGAACTGGAAGGCCGCCAGATGTCTGCTAATGTCTTCCCTGGGGCCAACGCTGTGACATAGCTGGGAGAGCCACACCCTGGGAGGCCAACATGCAATAAATATGCCTGCTGCATCGTGTCCCGGTCACTCCACTTTCGACCCAGCTCCCCACTAAGGGCCTAGGAAAAGCAGTGCACAATGGCCCAAGTGTTTGGGCATCCGCTCCATGTGGGAGGCCCAGAACAAACTCCTGGCTCCTGGCTTCCGCCTGGCCCAGGGCTGGCCACTGCAACCAACTGGGCAGTGAAGCAAGTTTCAAAGACCCCTGTCTCTCTGTAGCTTCCTCTCTCTGTCTAAACAAATTTGAGGGGTCAGTGTGGCATGGTAGACTCATCTTGCACCTGCCTGTGGCACCGGCATTCCATGTGGGTGCTGGTTCATGCCCTGGCTGCTTCACTCCCATCCAGCCCCCTGCTTGTGGAGTAGAAAACAGCAGAAGATACCCCAAAACCACATTAGGACCAGGAAAGAAGCTTCTGGCTCCTTGCTTCAGACTGGCTCAGCTAGCTCCAGCCACTCCAGCCATTTGAGTGTGAATCAGTGGGTGAAAGGTCTCTCACTCTTCATCTCCCCTCTCTCTATAATTTTGCCTTTCCAATGAAAATAAATAAGTCTTTTAAAAAATTAAAGTTCAATGCTTAAAATTCTTTAAAAAGAATGAACTGATTAGCAACTAATACTAGTTTACTGCTGAACACAACTACCATTGCGCGCTCCCGCAAGGCTCGCCAAGCAAGACCCCAGATACCCCATGCACGAGGAGGGCCAAGTCACACGTGCATTGCACCCCCTACTGAGGGCTGACCCCCTGTGACTATGAGTGTCACAGAGCCAGGACCACCTGCAGCCCACGCCCACTGGGGCCAACAGACCAGGAAGGCCACATCCTGACCGTTTTAACTTCTACTCTTGTGTGGAAGGCAGAGATCTTCTATCCACTCGTCCTCTTGCTAAAGCCAGAGGTTGCACTTCAGGCTGGATCTCCCGCACGGGCATCTGTGCCACCAGTAGTGCCCTCCAAGGGTGCCCCAAGGCAGGTACTACCAGCCTGGGAAGCGGCACCAGGACTCCCACCATCACTGAGACATGGACACAGCAGTGTAGCCCAAGATTCCAGCAGCACCTTAGCCACACATGGACACCCACCCAGCAATGCAAGACACGGGAAACATTAACCCCACGGGGGCGGGGGCGACGCTTTCTCTTTAAACCCCTTCAAGGGAGCACCGGCAGAGCGGATTACAGGAGAATCCTCTCGGGCAGGCTTCGGGTCAGCAGGCTCACCACCGGCAGCACGCAGAGCCTGGAGGCCAGAGCAAAGGGCGGCTCTGCGGCCTTGCACAGACCACACAGGGCTGCCACACGCAGCGCTGACTGACACAAGCAGGGCAGGCTGGCACACAGATGCTGACACACACAGCTGACTGACAGACCCCACAGAGCACGCAGACTGCCAGGAAGGGCTGGCTGACCGAGGACCCACAGCACTCCAGCTCGGCCCATCACCAGCCACACCTGCACCATAGGACGCGTCGTCTCCCTTTTCCATGTTCTGATTTGGCATTTTACCACACCTGCTTATCCTACCCGAGAGGCCCAGGTGTCAGCCACAGGGAGCTGTCAGTCAGCGGGAACACTTCCCCTAGCAGCTACAGACAGCCACGCTAGCACAATGAATGCCCACCTGGCTGCAGGATTCATCAGCAACACCCACCCCAACACTCCCAACCCCTGCCGGTCCACCAGCGCCCTTGCTCCCGCACTGCCCAGTGCCAAGCCACCCAGGCAGCCCTGTAGCCATGCTCCATCCTCACTGAAGCCACCAAGGCGGGGGCACCTGTGCTGGGCACCCCAACCCCCCAGGCCAGCCCAGGCGCCCCTGCATGGCAGTGGCCTCAGCACGAACCACAGTGCGCATCCTGCCACGGCCCAGTGGAGCAGAAAGAAGCTGACCTTCATGGAGGAATGAGCCTGGGGATTGTGGAGCGGCTGGACCCACCCTGAGCTCCCAGGGTCAAAGGCCAGCCACTCAATGGCTGGTGGCCAGTCTCAGGACTCTGCACTCTCCCATCAGAGAGGCAGCATGCCCCACCACACTGAGAGCTGCTGGACTGGCTGGCTGTGGCCACACTCGGCCCTCAATGACTCACCACACTCAATGCTGCTGAGGGAACAGGAGATATGGACTGTGGGACAGTGGTCACAAAAGGCTCTGCATACCAAGCAAGCAGGGCCTAGGCGATGGCTCTGTGGCTAACTCCTCGCCTTGCATGCCCGGGATCCCATAGGGCTGTTGACTCATGTCCCAGATGCTCCACTTCCCATTCAGCTCCAAGCTAGTGGCCGAGCAGAGCAGTCGAGGATGGCCAAAGCCTTGGGACCCACATTCATGTGGGAGACTTGGAACAGAATACTGGCTCACACTCACAATATCGTTATGGGACACAGTCACACCCACAGCATCCCCCTGGGACAGTCACACCCACGGCATCCTCCTGGGACAGTCACACCTACAGCATCCTCCTGGGACAGTCACACCTACAGCATCCTCCTGGGACAGTCACACCCACGGCATCCTCCTGGGACAGTCACACCTACACCATCCTCCTGGGACAGTCACACCCACGGCATCCTCCTGGGACAGTCACACCTACAGCATCCTCCTGGGACACAGTCACACCTACAGCATCCTCCTGGGACAGTCACACCTACAGCATCCTCCTGGGACAGTCACACCTACAGCATCCTCCTGGGACAGTCACACCTACAGCATCCTCCTGGGACAGTCACACCCACGGCATCCTCCTGGGACACAGTCACACCTACAGCATCCTCCTGGGACAGTCACACCCACAGCATCCTCCTGGGACAGTCACACCCACGGCATCCTCCTGGGACACAGTCACACCCACAGCATCCTCCTGGGACAGTCACACCTACAGCATCCTCCTGGGACAGTCACACCCACGGCATCCTCCTGGGACAGTCACACCTACAGCATCCTCCTGGGACAGTCACACCTACAGCATCCTCCTGGGACAGTCACACCCACGGCATCCTCCTGGGACAGTCACACCCACAGCATCCTCCTGGGACAGTCACACCTACAGCATCCTCCTGGGACAGTCACACCCACGGCATCCTCCTGGGACAGTCACACCTACAGCATCCTCCTGGGACAGTCACACCTACAGCATCCTCCTGGGACAGTCACACCTACAGCATCCTCCTGGGACAGTCACACCTACAGCATCCCCCTGGGACAGTCACACCCACGGCATCCTCCTGGGACAGTCACACCCACGGCATCCTCCTGGGACAGTCACACCTACAGCATCCTCCTGGGACAGTCACACCCACGGCATCCTCCTGGGACAGTCACACCTACACCATCCTCCTGGGACACAGTCACACCCACGGCATCCTCCTGGGACAGTCACACCCACGGCATCCTCCTGGGACAGTCACACCCACGGCATCCTCCTGGGACAGTCACACCTACAGCATCCTCCTGGGACAGTCACACCCACGGCATCCTCCTGGGACAGTCACACCCACGGCATCCTCCTGGGACACAGTCACACCCACAGCATCCTCCTGGGACACAGTCACACCTACAGCATCCTCCTGGGACAGTCACACCCACGGCATCCTCCTGGGACAGTCACACCTACGGCATCCTCCTGGGACAGTCACACCTACAGCATCCTCCTGGGACAGTCACACCCACGGCATCCTCCTGGGACAGTCACACCTACGGCATCCTCCTGGGACACAGTCACACCCACAGCATCCTCCTGGGACAGTCACACCCACGGCATCCTCCTGGGACAGTCACACCTACAGCATCCTCCTGAGACACAGTCACACCTACACCATCCTCCTGGGACACAGTCACACCCACAGCATCCTCCTGGGACACAGTCACACCCACAGCATCCTCCTGGGACAGTCACACCTACGGCATCCTCCTGGGACACAGTCACACCCACATCATTCTCCCGGGAAACATCCATATGCCATAACCTTCACTGTTCCAAGATACAAAACTCAGGTTTTGTGCAGATCCCCAGAGCTTCCCCTTGGCTGAGTATCAGAGCAGAAAGTAGGCACATACAATGCTGGCTGGGCACGGCGGGGACGTCGCCACCTGGCTTGAATCCCTGTTACGTTGCTCTGCACAATATAGGAGGCCATGGTGTTGGCTCATGTAGTCAAGCCACTGCTGGCCGGTTCACACTTGAAGACCCCAATGGTTTCTGGATCCTGGCCCAGTCCTGGTCACCGCAGGCTACTCGGGGCTGTAGTAGCCAGTGGCAGCCATCTTTGTCCACACCTATGGCACGGCTACCTGCACCCTGGACATGGGCCCTGGCGCCCATCTGACACTTGCCTCCTCTGGTATGGATGTGCTGCCCATCCAAGCACCAGCCTCTGATGACGCCCTCGTTTGCCTGGG